AGGGTCTCGTACTGTCTACCGTCCTCGCTCTCGCGCCTCTCGCCCTCGCCGTCTGGCCAGAGGCCGAGGGAAAGGACATCAAGTACACGTCTGTTCCTGGGTACTTCTTGCAGGACGACAACAGTACTGATCCGACCGGCTTCGACTATGTAAGTTTTTGCCGGCTCTGAGAAACATGTCGATGCAAAGCTCTCACTAACAACACATAACAGGCCGCAGTCAACTTTGGTCTCATCAGCCGGACGTACCCAACCGACAAGCACTTCGACCCCGAGGGCGTCAAGACCCAATGGCAGCGTTTCGACCACTGGGTCCAGTACCTGAACTCTGGCTGCCGCAAGAGCGATAGCGTTCAGTACAAGCTGCTGTTCATGGGCCGCCACGGTGAGGGCTGGCACAATGCCGCCGAATCATTCTACGGCACCCCCGCCTGGAACGTGAGAACATGCTCTCAACACCACCGAAAACAAGGCCACCGCAGCTAACACGACGACGATAGTGCTACTGGGCCGAGCAAGACGGCAACGCCACCGCCCGCTGGGCCGACCCCCTCCTCACCCCGGCCGGCCAAAACGAAGCCTACAAGGCAAACGCCTACTTCAAGGACCGGTACGCTACCCAGAAGATGCCCTACTTCGAGTCGTACTACACCAGCCCCCTAATCCGCTGCGGCTACACCGCCAACATCACCTTTGGCGACATTGCCATCCCCGCCGACGAGCACCCCTTCATCCCCGTCGTCAAGGAAGGCTTCCGCGAGGGCATGACGGTACACACCTGCAACTGGCGCTCCAACAAGACGTACATCGCCTCCACCTTCCCCACCTTTGAATTCGAGCCCGGCTTCGCGGAATACGACCAGCTCTGGCGCCGCAACGAGAGCGAGACGAGCGACGCCCAGGACGCGCGGTCCAAGGCCGTCCTCGACGACGTCTTCCGCGGCGACGACAAGACGTGGTTGAGCATCACGAGCCACTCGGGCGAGATCACGAAGCTCCTCAAGACGCTGAATCACCGCGCTTTCCGGCTGTCGACGGGCCAGATTATCCCCGTGTTTGTAAAGGCCGAGGTCGTGGAGCCGGTGCCGCAGCCGACGTTTGCGGCGCATGAGCCGTATTCGACGTGTACGAGCCCTCCCGTGACGAGTATTGCTGGCCAGGGGTGCGTTTGCGCGACGACGGCTTCGTCGGGGCTGCTCCCGGCGGCTACGCTTATGGCGGCGTGAGGAGTTTATGTGAAGGCTTCTTCTCCATATAGTAGTGAAACATAGAACCTGGTAGTCGTAATGTAATGACGGATTGTAAGCACGAGAAACCGTGACAGGTTCGTTCGATTGCGCCTCGAAGGAGCCGCCGCCGGGTTTACCATCTGAAGCAGGCCAGTTGATAGCGTAGAACGATATTCGAAGCAGCCATCAAGTTCTCCATCCAGAGCGTTGAAGTTCGCGGGACGTAGCGTGCGGGAAAGCGGCTGATCGACGTTGAGCTCATCTTTTCTTCCGTCTCATGCAACCGGGCTGCGGGACGAACCCTGTGTGTGGTCAGTGCTTCTCTAGCGTGTTATCTCGGATTGCAACAGTAGTCTTTTTAATGACGACGAAGATGGCGTTTCTTCTCTTACTAGCTAAGGTAGCCATTCGGATAACAAGCCCAGTCGCGTGGTGAGCGATGGTGCGGTGGTGGTGATACCTCATTCAAGGGTGGTGTTTTCCTTGCCTGGGGCGTCCGTTCACCACGTGGGACTCGAGCTTCTGGAATGTTTCAGCGTCTGCGTGGGGAGGAAGAGGCACAGAGGTTTCGTTGTGTGCGCTGTGCTCTTGTTGATGAGTCTGCGCTTTGGGCGCTGCGCGGTGGTGAAGCAACGGCTCGTTGTCTGTGGGTGCTCGGGAGCAGATCATCTGCTTGACCCCGGGGGATGGGCCAATCGTCAACATTGCCGTGCTTGATATTAATCGCGAGGCAATTGAGATTGCTGTTGTTGTTGTTGATGTTATCGATGCCCTCGGATCTTGTACATGGGGGAGGGGGGGGGGAGAGCTGGGCAAGGGGTTGTTGAAGAGAGAGGGGGAAGTTTCACGAAGGAATCAGACTTATTTAGTAAACCACCTGGGCAGGAAAGCTTCCATACCGTAGGGGTTAGCACGGCTGAGGAGGAGTTCGGTAAGCTGACCCTAGAACATTTCCCGTGCAGCCATGGCTCTTCGGATTTTCCGAGGTTGTGGACTTGTTGTTGTTCGTTGTCGAATATCTGTGTCGCAAATTCATGTGGCTTGCAGACGCTTTGCTTCGGTGTGTAACTCGGACGCAATAACCAGGTATCAAAGTTGAGCTGTGAGTTGTGCTTTGACGAATTCCTGTAGGTCCTTTTTATGAAGCTGGAAGTCGAGGCATGGTAAGCCATAGAAGATACAATTGCATCTTCCATTGCCTTACTTTCTTAGACGGAGTACCTTACTGGAGGTGTCTCCCTCGGGCGAGTTGGGGAAACACCGTGAAAACAAACAGTAGGCAACCCAGTAGAGCATCTGTATCTGCAGACGGCGAACCATGATCAGCATAACGTTCACAGGGATAGACGCAGCTTGGACACGGAGCACCTGTGTTGAACTGCTAACAGATCACTGATCAGTCCCTGGACGGCGGTAGGGCCTTCCGTCCTCCGAATAGGTAGTAAGTAAGTAGCATCAGCTATTTGTATCGTATCGTCCATGAATTCATGTCTGGGATTATTTTCTGCCCGAGTTAATTCCAGACACGCCCTTTATCACTCATTCTCGACGCTGTTAGCCTTTTTCTAAACCTCCGAACCCCGCCCAAACAGGTCTCAGAAAGCACCCGACCGCCAAGTTCCCAGTCCCAAGCACCGACAATACCTGCGTGTCTACTAGCACTCTGAAGTGGTGCCCTGAGATCGTCGGCTACACAAAGAAAAGAACAACAGCTGCGAAGGGACGGTACAGCATTTTCCGCGGATAATCGCTATTACAAGTGCATACGTCAGGTGGATTGTTTGTGTAATCCGTACCTATTCTGTTTCTGTAGTTCTGTGCTACATGAAATATCCCCTCACCTAACCCACACCGGCAAGGAGGCAAGAAGAACCTCGGGAGGGGGAAAAGAACAGAACAAAACACGCACAACATCCCTCCTCTTGGGACCCTTCCCCTGGACACTTTCTTTCCCTTGCTCACAGGTTTTCGATTTGCCTGGAAAATCAACCCCCCGCCGTCGCCGAACATCATCCCGGCGCCTTTTCACATCCACTTTCTCCCACTCCGAAGCAGCAACAAAACAAAAACAAAAACAATCCATAATACGTACGGATATACATACGGCGGACGATCCTCTCTTTCTGTATCACGCACCGTCGCATGCCCCCGTCCTACCTCGAGCATTGAAAGCAACTCAACTCAATTCGTCTCCCACGAAACCCGCCGCGACGCCACGACGCAACGTCTTTACACTTTGAACAAGCTCCGCGTTCTCCAGTCTTCATTAAACTCATACCTGCAGGCTGACGACTAGCCCCAATCTGTCCGAATCGCATTCTGCGTCAAGTGCCGCATCCCAGGGGCCTTGAGCTAATCTTAACCTGCGGCTTTCCTGCGTGTACCATCCATCTATCTCGACCCAACCCATTCGATTGGAAGCCTAGAAGGGAGTGAGATCAACACGATCCCGTCGGCCGTCCAGTGAACTTTCAGTCCAGTGAACCGGTCCTATTTCCGCCTTGCAGCACCCATCAGCAGCAGCACACCACCACATCTGCTTAGCAGCAAACCCGTGGGCCGTGGCAAAGGGGGGGAAAAGTGGCCTCGTGGCCTGCAATCGACCAACCGGAGAGTCGGAGACCGGGCAGACGAAAGCCATAAGCTGCAAAAGCAAGTCATAGTGTCAAGCAAGGGTGAACTTTGGCAAGTTCGCATCCAGCCGACGAGGATTCAAGCGAGCAGCACGACGCAACCACCAACCGCGCAAACCAACCGCGCAAACCAAGCACCCAACTCTGTATCTGTACTCCGTACCGTACCTTACCTTAGGCAAGGGGGTTAGCAACTCCATTGACGCCATCCTTGGCTTGCAGACTTCATTCAGCAAAGTACCCTACCTTACTTGCGCAAGGTATCCGAAAGGCAAAGCAAAGCAAACAATTCAGCTGCACTCGGCGCACCGACGCACCAACGCAGATACGCACACTCCATATCCATCCCTCATCAGTCGCAGTCGCACGCCCACGCCTCGGGATCCAATACCACCTCGAACCTGGCCTGACCACGCGCGAAACCAACCTCGCCGATCGATTCGGCCCCTCGTCCGCCCTCCTTCGCAGGAATCCTGAACCTGGTCCCTGACACCCCTTCCCTTCCACGCCCTCCTCCTCCTCCTCCTCCTCCTCCTCCTCGTGCTTTCACCTCCCTGGGGCGAACCACACCGTCATCCCGCCCGCTCTCCGTTCCCGTCCCCGTCCAGCCCTCCTCTCTCCCACTCCTCCTAGCTAGGCCCAGGCTCAGCCTCCAGCCCCCCCCCCCCCCCCCCCTCCAACTCAAAGACATGCAACGATCCGGACCACCTCCCACGACCGCCAATGCGCCATTCTTCTCCTCCTCCTTCTTCTCCTCTTCTTCCTCAAAATCCCGTCCCGGCACATCCTCAGGCGAACCACCGCAACAATCCCAGTCTCAACCACCACCACAGCCGTCCCCCTTCTTCCCGCCGCCCTTCCAACCGCAGTCCTCCGGCCCCAACATCCTCATCAAGGATCGCAAGACCTCCTTTGGCCGCAAGACCTCCTTCAGCTCGCCCAACAAGTCCTCGTCCTCGTCCTCGTCCTCCTCCAAGCGCCGCGCCAACAGCTCCAGCTCCGGCGGAGGAGGCAATGTCGTAGTCACCGACCGCAACGTCCCGCCCGCACTCCCCGACTTCGCCCTCGCCGCCGCCGCAAAGATCACCCGCGACGCGGACAACATCCAGAGCCCCGCCTCCGCCGACAGCTTCTCCAGAATGCTGAGCCGTACCCAGACCGGCTCGACGAGCCTGGCGCCCAGCGACCGCCTACAACCACCGCCCACGTCCGCGACACATCCCAACATGTGGCAGTCGAGCGAGTCTGTCGTGTTGCACATGCAGATGCAGGAGATTGCGAATAAGAGGATATCAACGTTGGACTACCTACGGAAAGCGTATGTGCTTAACCACTCTCTATCTACTTGCGTCTCCAGCTTGCTAACCATGAACCTCAACAGACACGAAGGCCGAGTATACTGGTTCAACACAATCCTCTTCGACAAGCCCGACCTCGCCCGCATGCCCTCCTTTGAATCGCGGAAACTCGCCCGCCGCGCAACAAACTACCTCCTCCTCGGCCTCTCCCTCCCCACAATCGTCGACCTCTACGCAAACACCCCAATCGAGTTCCTCCGCAGCCTCAACAACCTCCTCCAAGAATTCGAGTCCTTCCAACAACTCCACAGCGAGGGCGGCACCTCCACCAGCTCCCTCTCCCGCGCCAGGCTCCCCTCCATGTTCCGTCGCCAGGGCGGCAAGTCACGGCGCAGCGCCAGCGGCGCCAACGATATCGGATACCCTCTCGACTCGGACTCGGCGAGCGGCGGAAGCTACGGCGGCATCGGGGGCTCGTCGAGCGCGAGCGCGAGCGTCATGTCCTTTGCGTCGAGCGATAACGATTTGCTACCGGGCGAGGTGTACACCCACCTGCTCACGCCATCGCTGCCGTTCGAGCCCGACTTTTACGAGACGTTTGCGACGTTGTGCGAGGTGCTGATTGACGTCTACACGAGGGTGCTGAGCCTGGTGCCCACGCCGAGGGAGACGACGGCGCCGGTGGCGGAGCTCTTTGCCAAAGCGGACGCCAAGGTGCGCAAGATTATTGTGCAGGGCGTCGTCAAGGAGTTTGAGGACAGCAGCAGGTCGCACATCAAGACGGAGGTGGGCAATATCGGCAAGGTTGTGCTTGGTGGGCTAATGTAATGGAACGATGTATAGGACCCATGTCTGGAATGATTTTGCATTTTTTTCTACGGAGTTCTTTCTTTGCACCCCTTGTTACGGATGGATGGTTCATGTTTGAAATGTGGACGAGATTCGGCGCAGGGCACGTTATGACGAGGCGTTCAGATATACCATGTTCATGTTTGTTTCTATTCTTCTTTATATATATACCTATGACCCAAGCCACAGGGAGAGACGAGATCTCTCGGACCTTTCAGTCCATTGATACTTAAATGACAAAAAAAAAAATTTACAAGTTCCAAATGTTCATCAGATACCATAACGCATGTTTTGTCGCTCAGATTGGCGGACCCTAAGGCCTCTCACCGTCAGTGCTTGACTCTATTGGTAATCATCATCGAACTTGAACTGTGTCCCAATTATCCCGGTGAATCCAGGGCATCATAGACGGAAAAGACTTCCCATGAAGTCCAGAGTGTAGGTGCCTAGCCCCTTTGCGGACCAGCAAGGAAGAATGGAGACGAAACCCCCAGAAGAAAATCCAAAAACTTGGATTGAACCCCCCTCGCACCAAGAATAAGCCCCATCGAGTAACACGCCCAAACCTCAGCAAAGAGGTCGTGGACGGGCAATCGCATACCTGTCGATCTCGACGAAAGACCCTCCGACGAACCCTTGAATTCGCCCGACAAGCGAGCCCTTCCAAACGGCCACCCCGTCATCAAAGGCTGCCCCCAACCATCTCAAGGATCCCAAGCTCCAACTTCCCAGGCGCGGACTCATATCTTCATCCAAAAGGTCCTGGAAAGCTAAAACTCGGGTCTTGAAAGGTAGAGAAGCCCAGCGATGTAGCGACGGGGCGGGGTGTGAGAGAGCCCATTGTGTCCGGACGCAGGTCTTGGAGGTCAGCCGCTGTGCTTCTATGGCGGCGCGTTTCCGCGGCGTTTTGGCTTCCCTGGAAAGGGAAGTAACGTGTGTCCGGGGACTTTCTCCCAAAGCTTTCAGCTGAGATTCCCGCAGGGGAAATCTCCGTTTGTAAGCTTCGATGGCGATTTGTCGGACGAGGAGGGTTGAAGAGAAGAAGAAGAAGAAGGGAAGAGAGTAGACGCGAAGCTTGCAGTCTTTTTTATAAAGAAAAAAAAAAGTTTCGGAGCTGGAAGGTGGGGCGGTGTGGCTGTGGCTTGTTGTGGGGACCTGCCCTCCGAACTGTGGCTTAAGCGCAGGGAAGGGAAGGGAAGGTGCTCGGCACGTCAGGCACCCAGCCTTGTGGCTTTTTCGGCCAATGAGAGGTGGCCATCACTTTTCGCATCGCGACTGCCTTAGTGCCTGCACTGGAATTCGCATCGGGGAGCTTTCACTCGGGGACGATTTCGAACAGCTATTTGAAGCTTCTGCCGCCCGTCTCTGTTGCCACCAACTCTCTTCAGCAGACACCCTGATCGACCGGATCAAGCGTTCTTTCTGTGCGACACCAGAATCCGTTTTTTTTTACAACCCTCCACGCAAAAACATCACAAACACATAGCTCGACCGACGACACACCGACACAATGTCCGGCCTCTTTGGCGCCGCATCAGCGGCTTCGTCGAGTAACACGGTCGGCGATCTAAAGCAGGACGTCGCTCTCAACAACCCCCCTGAAGACAGTATCTCCGATCTCGCTTTCTCTCCCGCTCAGAACCAGGCCAGCGACTTCCTGGCAGTCTCCAGTTGGGACAAGAAGGTTAGGATATACGAGATTGCACCCAATGGGCAGAGCGAGGGACGGCACGCCTACGAACACGATGGTCCCGTCTTTAACGTCGATTGGTCCAAGGTACGATATAACTTCTCTCTCTATGCAGGCGACTTTAGCTAATATTTCCAAAACCAGGACGGCACAAAAGTTCTCTCTGGCGGCGCCGACAAGGCCGTCAAGCTCTGCGACCTGGGCTCCCAGCAGACGATCAAGATTGGCGAGCACGACCAGCCCGTCAAGTGCGTCCGCTTCTTCGAGTCGTCCGGCACCCCGATGGCCGTGTCGGGCTCCTGGGACAAGACGGTCAAGTACTGGGACATGCGCTCGCCGACACCCGCGGCGTCGCTGGCCTGCCAGGAACGTGTATATACGATCGACGTGCGAAACGATCTTCTCGTCATAGGAACCGCCGACCGGTACATCAACGTGGTGGACCTCAAGAACCCGACAAAGTTTTACAAAACCCTGCAGAGCCCCCTCAAGTGGCAGACGAGGGTCGTCAGCTGCTTCGCCGACGCCGCCGGTTTCGCCATTGGTAGTATCGAGGGACGCTGCGCGATCCAGTATGTCGAAGACAAAGATGCTACGTAAGTTTCGAATTCGAGGAACACGCGGATGAAGCGCGACAGGCGGCTAACAACACTGTATCAACAGCTCCAACTTCTCATTCAAGTGTCACCGAGACCCTCCTGCTAACAACATCACCAACGTGTACGCTGTGAATGATATCTCTTTCCACCCCGTTCACGGCACCTTCAGCACGGCCGGCTCTGACGGCACCTTCCACTTCTGGGACAAGGACGCCAAGCACCGTCTCAAGGGCTACCCCCAGGTCGGCGGCAGCATCACGGCCACTACATTCAACAAGACCGGATCCATCTTCGCGTACGGTATCAGTTATGACTGGGCCAAGGGCTTCCAGCACAACACGCAGGCGTACCCTATTAAGGTCATGCTGCATCCAGTTCAAGCGGATGAGTGCAAGCCCCGGCCGACCATGAAGAAGCGATAAATGTAGGGAGGTGTGTCCAGGGTTCGGGATAAGTTGGATTCACACCTAGATGATGTTTCTGGGTGTAGTGCGCAAGGCAATCGAGCACAGGACGTAAGGGGCAGATGGCAGGTAGATGTCATCGCCCCAGGATGGATACCTGTGTAATGTACGAAGAGGAGGTCGATGAATTCGGGGCTCTCAGGGAGCAAGCTGCAAGCAAATGTTATGGAAATCGCGAATCAGATCCGCGAAATGGAGTGTACGGTACCGGACGATACCAAATTGGCAATCAAAAGTTTTAAGCATCAAGTGGCGCCATGTTTTTCGCACATCATTCGTGAAAGTGAGTTTTGGGTTGGGTTTGCTTAAGCAAGATCCAAATCTGAGCCATTGAGTTTTATGAATGCTACTCGTACCCGATTGTGAATGTCAAGTTGGCGTTTCTACCAACTGAAGCTCAATTAAAACCATGTAACCAACAATAAATGGAGAAAAAAAAGGGCTGTCTCGACTGCTTCCCAAGCAAGTCCACATACTACGTGACATGAAGTAATATCATCCGCTTTGCTTTTCAGTCTCACCTCATAACACATCATCCCTCTACCTCGTCGGAGCTCACAGCTTTTTCTTTTAGAAAGCAGGCTTCTGCGACGACCCAACAACGTTATCAACGAGACCCTTCCACAAATCTCGCAAACCAGGCTGGTGCGCATCAACCTCAGCAGCAGCCTCGCTGTCGTGGGCCCACTTCAGTTCGACGCCATCTACACCGAAGCCCTCAATCTCAGTCAATGCGGCGGCGGTGGTGACGTTTTGGGGGTGTGCTGCAATGATTGAGATTTCGGGCTTGCTGAGAGGGAGAGCGTCGGCTGCGGCGGCGGCGGAGGAGATTTGCTCGTAGAGGGACTGGTGCTTTGTGGTGAAGGAGTCTGGGAGGAGGGGCATGCGCATGCCTGCGAATTCGTTTCTGGGGACGGGGTCGTAGGAGAGGGGGAGGATTGTGAAGTCCATTCCGCCGGCGGTGGTGGTTGCGGAAGAGGTTGCGGCGGAGGAGGAGGAGAAGGTTTGCATTTGGCGGACGGAGGGGGAGGTCCGGGTTGGTTGCGGGGTTGGGCGGTGGGTTGTGCTTAGGGTGCGGGCGGACTGTTGTGGTTTGTTAGTTTGGAGGTGTTTCAATAAGAGCTTCTTTCTCGGTGAGAGAAGTTGGAGAGGGGAATGTAGAGATGGAGGAATGAGACATACATCATGCTCGCGGGTGCTCCGGTTCTGGAGGAGCTCTGCGTACTTTGGCATCAGGACGGCGCCGTGGTTGACGTTGTAGTGGGACTCGAGGAGGCCGCTGGAGCGGTTGGCCGTGGCGGCGGAGTTGATGGAGCGGGTGAGCTTTGCGACGGGGGCGGTGATGCGCGACATGGTGATGGTTTTTTGGGGGTTGTTGGTGGTTTCCGATGTGTTGATTGTTGGTTTTGGGGGTTCAAGTGCCGACCAGGCTTATAGTTGATGAAGCTTGTTGGAAGTTGGTTGATTTGTCTTGAGACGCAGATGTGAGAGTGAGAATGAGGTTTGTTCAGGCTTGCTGAAGAGTAGTGTAAGAGCGTTTGTACGGACGGACGGCAGATGTAGTAGAGTTGATGGACGGTTGGATGGAGGAATCGAGAGCGAGGATGGAGGGGGGAGTTGCACGGCAGATATACAAACGCACGGAAGGAGGGAAGGGCGGGAGGGAGATCAGAGATCAGAGACAGAGCTTCACATACCTCACACCTTGCACCTCACATACACACACACACACATACGCGCGCTATCTTACCACACGAGCATTCATACACACTCCACGCACATAGGGCGTAGATACACACCCTCCCTCTCTGGCAAGTTGGCAACCCCCCCCCCCGGAACTGGGACTGGAACACTGGAACACTGGAACACTGGAACGGGGACTTGGCCGGGGTGGGCGGGCTACCAAGTTTGGACAGGTTTGGATTGGGGAGAAGGGTAGGGGGGCATGGATGGGATGAGATGCGACGGAGTGAGCGGTGGGATGAGAACGGCGGTTGCGGTTGTGCTGGTGGAAGTGGTGAGTGAGAGTGTGTGTGGTACGGTGACTGAGTAAACGGTAAGAGTTGCATCCTATCTGAACCTTACGAGGGAATGAGAACGAAAAATGTACATGCGTTGCTAAGAAACGTGGAATCGGGGTCAAAGTACAGGTCGCGCCCGTCGTCCGTGTAAGAGGTACGAAGGAGGTGGATGTACCCGGAGGTCCGGTGAACGGCGGAGGACCAGTATGCATGGCATGGCCTTTGGCGGAGGGTGAGAGCCGGGTGCCGGGGGTGGGTGAGGTACCCTTGCCAACAGGCACTTTGCATCCGTTTCCGCATACTTTCTCGACTTGACTTTATGGTAGTATAACGCTATTGATCTATAAAGCTAGTTGGGCCTGTACGCTGCCAATGTTGTGGTAAGAGTATACGGACTACTGCCATGGCTGTATGAGTGAGTTGAGTGAGTGAGTGAGATGGCCCCCCTGGTAATTGTTGAGGAGGGATCCAATCAGATCAGCAGGGGCCCCAGGGAGAACAAGTCATGGTTATTTTGGTTGGTTGAGTGGGAGAGAGAAGAGACGCGGACGCAATGTACGTGTCGGCATTCTGCCCCATGGATGTGCACGCTATTATGCCACCACGCATGCACATAAGGCGAGTCTTGATTAGTCTATTCCCCGCGGATGCAGTTGCCTTGTCCTTCTAGCTCCCAGGAGAGCCGGCGAACTCTCCAGTGAGTTACGAGTCGCGAGGCAAGATCACGTAGACTACGAAGTAGAGGAGGAAAACTCCATCGTCACGACTGACTGTAGCTTGGTGGATGTTGCGGATGAGTATCCGTAGTGGCACTATTTTTCCAACTATTATACAACAGAAATCCAAGCAAGAGCAGCAGTCTGGCACCAGACCAGACCGCCCCGATCTGCGCGGGGCCCGCGTGAGCTGACGACGGGAGGGGAATGGCGCGGGTGTGGCATGGATTTCCTGCCAACCTACCCCAACTCTCCTCTCAGGGATTTGTAAACTGCTGTTGCTGTTACCGTCACCGCTTCTCGATCTGGGATCTACTGGCGCTGGAGTCGGGTTCTGCGATGTGGTGTGTGGACTGACACTTCCAGTGACTTCCCGCGGAGTCGGACAGAGTTTCTAACCGTGCCAATCGTGCCAATCTAGTTGCGTTCTGTGGAGATGGAACGGCTGCTGTTTGCAGATTCACTGTGACAGTGGGCCCAGCACTCTATCTAAACTTGGCAGGAAACGAGGCGCTGGAGACAAGAGAGACAGACAAACCTATCCGTACGGATACCTACTCCATCAGAGAAGGAGAGAGAGCAAGGATAGGGCACGTGTACGCGATGAGCACGTTCAAGCAAAGAAGACTCTAGAGTCTGGACTGGGTTCGGTGGTTCACTTGGTTTTCTCAAGGTGGTCGGGTACTGCGATGAAGCAGCTTCGTGACCCTGCCAAGGCGGGCACCGGACGGGAGGTAAGCAGTAAGGTTGGAGTAGGCGAGCGAGGGTGGTGCTTTGGGACTTGGGTAACGGGTCTGCCATAGCGCTCCTGTCTTTGGGGGAGGGGGGACGAGATTGAGCGAGAACGAGCGAAGCTGTTCAACCAACCCCAACCCAGAAACCTATCAAATTGACGGTTTGAGTCACTGTGCAGTGCTTTGCTTGTTCGAGTCTAAACTAGTGCCAACTGCGAACTGGCTTTCGGGTGTCAGATTGTCATAGTTTCAATCGTGATGCCAAGTTAGATGATCGAAGAGATGAGAGAATTGTGGTGGTGTGAAGGCAAGGAGGGTGATGGAGGGGGGATGGCGAGCGGTTCCCTCCCAGAGACTGAAGACGAACCAGAGTCAAAGGTAACGGCGATAGCTGGATGGGCTGGATGTCAGACAGACACGTTCCAACGTTCTCATGGTTCTTGGGGGGGGGGGGGTTCCCGGTGATACCGATAAGGAACGGGCTAGGTTTGTTACCTCAGACACGCCATCCTCAACAGAAATAGAGACATCCATAACCCTTTCAAGCCTGGCTGGTCCCTGGATGGATTGTCACAATGGCAGAGCAGGAGTAGCATGTTTGCCTGTCACCCTGTACTGTTGTAGACTGAGAAACCCGGATCCCAAGCTTCGATCTCAAGGTCCCGTCGCATGATGGATAGAGTCTCCTGGACGCGCCGGTGAATACTCGCTGACCAATACCACCGGAGTTTAGGCACTGTTACGTGTCCAGCTCCACGACTCAGTGTCGATGTTTGTGATGATTTTCAGGACGGCATGAACTTGAGAATATGGCTATGCAGATCGCGCGGCGCCCTCCGCATCCATCGAAACGTCAGGTCTCCATCAAAATGCTTGTTGAGCTGAGCTGGCGTGCTGGCATGGCTGGCTCACAGGCTGTGCACCGCTTAGGCGTCCTTGACTCCTTGTCGACTACGATTTCCGCACATAAATCAAAAGAAGCTCGGCTACGAATATGGATACAACACTGTTGACTGGCACTGACAGCGCGGGTTGACTTTGCCTTGACAGTTTTCCAGGTCCCTGCTTGTTGCTTGGGGGGGGGGGAACTCGAGGCGAGTAGGACACAGAAAACGGAAACGGGGGACAGGCAAGAAAGACAAGGGGGAACTTGGAAGGGAAACGAAAAGCTTCGAGACGTTGAGGAGCTTGGGCCAGCTGCGGGTCCCCGGTACATGCACGCCGGCTTCCCGTCCCCGGGCCCCACTCACACCGCAATACGTACCAGTGCTTACTTAAGGTGCCTTAGTAAGGTACGAGGGTACTTCTCTCCGACAATCCTCTCGGTCAAACAACCCAAGTCTCTCCAAAATGTCCATCTGAACAAAGACTCAGCAACCAGCAGCCATCTCACACTTCGCTCTTACACCCGCGCACCAGTGACCACAGACGCACCACTGACGCTCGTCGTTGCTACACCTTACTCTGGCGTGTCAGGGCCCGCTGGACGAACCGTCAGAGTCGCTCAGGGCTAAGGCACGGCTGGTCTGCCACTTGAAGATTTGTTGACCGAGACGCGCATTGGCGTCCTTTTCGTCGTCTCCATGCTCGCTATTTTGCTCTCGTCAGCAACGGGTTGGCCGCCGTAGCGCTTCCTGTTCCTGTTTTCCTCGTCCATTCTGGGTTCTTTCGTCGAGCTTGCGTCCTGGACTCTTGTGCTCGCAAGTTCTCCTTTCGCCGTGGTCGCCCTGGTATTGTCCCAAAGAAGCGTGGTAACATAGGTACCGCCCTGCCACGCCTGCCAACCAAGACATGCTGGGGCTAGCGTATCTCCCCTGCTGCCGGGGGAGACCTGCAACCCCATGATCGCCCTCGTCGGCTGGGCATGCCTGGATGGGGTTCTCTCGCTCGACACCAGTGGCCCTGTCGCCCAGGGCCAGAAGGGGGCGAGACGTTGAGTCTTGACTCTTGAGTTTACCCTCCGATGATCGCACTGAGCCAAGGCCAGTCTATTTGCCTACCAACATGGTGGAAATTGCACCTGGGACAGTGCATAAAGGTATAAACAAGATGACGGACAGATACACAGGGCGAAGCTACACACTGCCACGATACACAAGTGATTGGCAAGCTAGAATGCTCAGGGGAGCTCCATAGCTTCCAGTGCTCACCGCTTGGGGTTCAGATCCACCGTCCCGGGGGTGTTTGTGCCGCCGCCGCAAGTCGAATTACTCACTGAATTGGCGTCGGCATGATTGGCCACAGAAGACGGACGATCGGCGCATGGCCAGATCGTTGGGAAACCTTGCCAGAATCCCATGTCCCTTTCTCGAAATGTCCACCGTCGCAGACGGCGACGCAAGACAGTTGCGCGGGAATCGTTCTCCGGCTTGAGGATGTTTGACGGTGTGCGAATTGCCAGGTTCGGCGGGTAAGCAAAAGGCGCATCTTGGACAGTTTGGTCTGGTGTGCCGCTACTCGGTGCGAACGGCACCCTCGAAAGCGTTCCTCTGTCGCTCGTGTATCGTTCACTACCAATCCTTGAAGCTTATGCAGGGTGTGGCAGGCTACACTTCAGACGGCGTCTCAATCTGTTGTTCGCTGTCCGAACTAGACCTCCGAACAACTCGGCGATATTCAACCCCCATGAAGTCATGAAGAAAGGCCCATCAATACGACAAGAACCTGATTCATGAAGAAATTTCGAAATGGATCCTTGATGACGACGGCAAGGAGAAGCGCCGAAGAGGAGGCCTAGAATCCCGAACGTTCTGATACCAGCGCCATGCAGCGGACGGATTAGAAGCGAGAGAAGAGGTCGGAGAGCGAGGTAACTATCGCCGAACTTCAGACCAACCCGCCGCCGTGGGGGTCGTTCGGACAACTCTTTAATGGCTGGAACCCAAAAAGCACACGAATCAGGGCCGAGTCTGTGCAAAGGCAAAGTTCACAGAGGGAACCACTGGCCCGGTTCCTTGATCAAGGGAAGGCCCTAGAGTCTGTTCTTTCTGGCGTGTCCGGTTCGACTCTGTTATCCCCAGCGCCGGTATTTTTAGTAGCCCATGGCGTCTCAGTCGGGGCGACGGCCGTGCGACGACGTCTGCCGTTCCCGTGTATGAAGTTTGATTCTTGGACCAGGTTGGTTGTACTGGGAAGATGGGCGGGATGCTTCAGCTCGGCTATCTTTGGCTGGATACCTAGTAACCTTGAACGAAGGACTACACTGTGGAAATCCATTATCGGGAATCCCATGTAGAGCTCCCTCATGAGAATTGGAGGAAGGCGGGTGGCTATACTGACACACGCCTCACCTGCCTCCGGCCACGCCGCGAACCTTTCATGTAGGTTATGATCGCGATTGGCGTCTACCAGTGGGCTTTTTACCGATGGCCTCGCTCTGCTTGTTTGCCTTTTTACCTTTTCGAAATTCTACTTTGTGTAGGTATCCGTACACATATGCTTTATGCAAATGCAAATGTAATGCTGTCTGAGAAGGTAGGTATATATGCGACCTGGCGACTTAGATACCCAGTACGCACAGATAAGGGTCGAAAAAAGAAAACATGCCGCCGGGCCTGGCTTACAAGTATTCGAGATTGGTGATCAGGAACGCGTGATTGGCATCCAGGCACTCGGGAGTACCTACCGCTCTGAGCCTCTCACATTGAACACTCAGTGAGGCGAATGAGCTGCGGGCGATTTCACACTCACCGCTCATTCCATTCTGCCCCAATCCGCGAATCCGAGTTGTCGTCCTCACCCAGTCAGATCTCATGATCTCAGACACGCGATTGTCAGGGAGCATTCTTACGTTTCGGGGCGGTCGCGGCGAGGATACCGGACGCGGGATACATGTCTAAGATTAGAGATTGCCCCTGGCACAGCTGGCACTAGGAGGCGGCGACCAACGATACGTCGTTGAAGCCGCTGTGGCGTTATTTGTTCAGAGCCTGTGATAATGGCGCTTGAAACATGAAGTGGCAGGCTGGTGTGGCAGGTATCATTTATTCGAGATCCGCGGGATGGGAAGAGGAGACGGGCCGGACCCGGGGATGGATGAGCATCGTCGTAACAACCTTTTGGCATGGGCCTCCCCCATATGTCTTCTCCAGCCCTCCAGGGAGCGAGCTCGGAATTACGAGATCCAATCATATTGCCTCACCCCGCCCACGTGTTTGGCTGGCGAGGTCTCAAACGGGTCTCTCTCAACAAGACCTCAAACTTCTGCCATCTCAATCCGGGCGTGATAAGCTACCGGGGGGCATGCCAGTCAACCAACCAATCATGATGTCCGAAACGCCGAATACTCCGGAGCCGGGGATGGGGCCGGCTCCGGCTTTTATCTCGTTCGGCATGGTTGTTCTCGACGAGCTCCGCTTCCCGGACGGTAGTGTTCTCCGCGACATTCCCGGCGGTTCTGGGTTTTACAGTGAGTGGAAGCTGTGACAGCCGAACTTTGAGTTTCATCTTCTGTTATACTCTGACTTTTGTTTGGAAAGGATCTTGAAGAGTGAAAGACGAATTCTGATGCTGGACAGGTACCCTCGGCGCGCGCCTCGCCGTCTCGGAGAATGAGTCTTCGACTGTACGCTGTGTCATCACAGCGGGTTCTGACTTTCCAACTACCGTGAGGCGGCAGATTGAGGAATGGGGTGTCACCGTACACTATGATGAGATGCCGGATAGGCTATCAACGAGAGGTCTTTTGGAATATGAGAATGATGCTTTTGGAAGTGAGTTCTCAGCAAATTCATCTGTAGGAATCAAGCACCCAGACTAACGTTACATTGCAGAAAAGACTTTTCGATATACCGTGCCACCTTTACACCCCGATATATCCCGGCTTCCTGAATTGCTTCTTCGATCCTCCGTGATTCAGACACCCTGGCAACGCCGGAAGATCTCGAGCAACATGCGAGGTCTCTCGCAACCCTCCGCGGCGAGACTGAGAACCCAGTTTCCCTAATCGCATGGGAACCCTCGCCCATCAATAGCCACAACCGCCAAATCGAGCATATGAGAGCTGTCCACTTCTCAGACATCTGCTCGCCGAACGACCACGAACTCTTACGTATGAAGGGCATCGACGACAGCCTAGGATCACCTTACAACAGAGCACTGGTCGAGCACCACGCCATCGACCTCTCGAATGGCAATGCGGCACCGGGACATCCTGCGTTGCTCAAGGAGGCGCAAGACAGACCACGGGTCACGGTCCTTAGGTGCGGCGACCAGGGCTATCTCACCATTCCCCGGGACGGCGATCCAACATGGCTGCCTCCTTTCCACGACTACGGCTCTTCAAAGGTTGTAGATCCGACAGGCGCCGGCAATGCATTCCTCGGAGCGTTTGCGATTGTTTTCGCGAGGACGGGTGACGCGGTTCTCGCCTCGGCGTACGGATCTGTGGCAGCCAGCTTCGTTATCGAGCAGATTGGACCGCCTAAGAGGGAGGTCATCGACGGCAAGGAGTACTGGAACGGGGAGGCGTTTGAGGACAGGCTGAGGCAGTATCAAGACAAGGTCGCGACGTAGCTGACCCGACGTGGTTCTACAAAGCAAGTAGATAGTGAAGCCAGTATGGTCGTAGAACGGGCTAGGAGTCCCGGTGGTCATCTGGGTATCATAACGAGATTCTACATTTCCCGACCTCTAAATGCTCGATAAAAAACATTGCCACTCGCCTCAATCCGTGTCTAAATCTTTCAAACCTTTTTTCGCCAAGCTCATCGTCTCCCTTCTCACCGGATAACCTGCGTCCCCTCAGCGGGCTCCAGGATCTTCCACTCGCAGCCGACGTTCTTATCGACGTTGTTCTCCCTGAGGATCTTAATAATCTTGTTGGCAATCTCCTCAAAGTTTCTCGTGGCGAGCGCGAGGATGGTGGGACCCGCGCCGGAGAGGCAGACGCCGAGGAAGCCCGGCTGTGTGCTGGGGGACATTCCCTCGACGATCTGGCTCAGGCCCGGGATGAGGGTCTGGCGGTAGGGCTGGTGGATCTTGTCTTGCATGGCGAGGTGGATGAGTTCCGGATCCGGGGGAGAGGTTCCCAGGGCCACGGGGAGGAGGGCTATTCTCTGCATGTTGAAGGTCTGTGATTGGGTTAGTCGAGGATCGAACGAAAAGATATAAGAGACTGGGGGGGGGGGGGCTCAGGAGGCACTCACGACATCGGGACGGGTGTAGTGAGGCGGCAGCACCTCGCGGGCGAGGTGAGTGGGGACCTGGAAGTCGGGGATGATGGCGATGGCCTTGATCTCCTTGGCCCAAGGGAACTTGATGTGGTGGCCGATGCCGTGGGGGGGCTCCGGCGGGGTCTCGCCCGTGTCAACGCCGCCTGCCGGGGCGGGCAGGACTTCGCTGAGGGGTATCTCGATGCGCTGGACGTCTTCGGGCTTCAGAGGGCGGAGGTAGGTGCCGACGAAGCCACCGTATAGCGAGGCGCCGACGTTGTCGGGGTGTCTCTCTGGTCTCTTGGTGAGTGACACTGCACTGCGATGTTGATGGTATCAAGACTAGAGAAAGGGGCCACTCACCAATCATCAAACAGAAGTCGAATAGTCTATCGAGGCTGAGGTGGTCCAGGTGTCCGACCTCCTTTCCGAGCATCACACCGGCAACGACAGCGGAGCCGGAGCTACCAAGACCGCGGCCGAGCGGGATGGGGTTCTTGATGTGGACGTGGGTCTCGACGGGGAACATGCGCTGGCCGTGGCACCGCAGGACGTAGAGGGCGACGCGGGTGATGAGGTTGACGGAAGGGTCGAGGCTGATGTCGGAGGAGCCCTCGCCCTGGCCCTCGTAGGTGAGGCGGCAGTTGAGGGGTTCCGAAGAGGAGGTCTTTGAGCGGTTGACGGTGACGTGTAACTCGAGGTAGACGGAGAGGGCGAGGCCGATGACGTCGAAGCCGGGGCCGATGTTGGCCGAGGACGAGGGCGTCTTGATCACGAATGTTTCTTTGGTCATGGTGGGCGAGGCTGGCAGTCGGTGTAAGTTGGTTGGAGGGGATGAGTGCGTGTGTGTGTGTGTGTGGGCTGAGGATTTGAGATGAGATGAGGTGAGGGGTTCAGATCAGTTCGGTGAAGCGGGGTGGAAGCTTCACAGCGATCGACTGTCGTCTCAGTCTAGGGTATTCAAGGGATTCTGTGATACCTTCTTGTGGGCTGTTACGTGAGATGTGAATGAGTTCTCACGTAGAAAAATGAAAATGAGAGTGAGTCTAGCTCAGTGCTGCTTGAACTGGTGTCGTTCGTGACTCAAAAAATTTGGATGTCGTCCGATGACCGGAGCGTCTCAGCGGCCCGGCGCTGCTTCCTGGTGGGGTGAAGCCCTACACAGGTACGTCCAAGTGCGGGGTGTCCTTCCGGGCCGCCATTGGCCAATGGGATCACTGGAAGCCTCTGATGCACGGTCAGCTCTCAGCGCAGTCACGCAGTGTCTTATCGCCCTGCCTGAAGGCTGAACCTCAGGTCCGCTGAGATGAGGTGACAGCGCCTGAAGCTCCCTAACTCTCTCTTATCTTATCGCGCCGCCTCTCCTTCTCATCCAATTTCCTCTGACTTTCTCTGTTCGGTGCCTCTTGCCAATGACAACTGCATCTTTTAACTACATCTCATGCCTCGTCCCGGTGCAAGGCTGTGTGACACGCTGCTCTTTTGCTCGACTTCTCTGCGTTCGACTGACCTGCACATTTGACGACATCTGCTGCCCTTTAACATCTCGGCTCACGAACATAATCAGCCTCGCCAACAAACTGCCAAGAGTTCCCACCCTCGGTCAAGATGCTCGTCTGATAATACTCCGTAATAATAATAGTACGCCAGGCGGACCACGGAACCGTCGATCTCTTGAGGGGTTGCTCGCGATCTATCACATCCTTCCTGCCTTGTGGATTTCACTCTCGTAGGAAAGTTGGGACTCCAGCCGTATTAATATATTCTCTTCCCTGCCCTTACAGCAGCTCAATTCCCAACTCCACCTCGTATCGCCTTGCTCTTACGAGCAACTCGCCCTCGGGTTGTCCCCGAGTCTGCAGAAAGCCGAGTCAGTGTGGATGCTAAGAATCTGCCCTCCAAATTTTCAGAGTCGAAATGGTCATGACTCTCTTTATGAGCAGTCGCCTTCATGAGAACTGGTACTGAGACCCCAGTGCCCGACGGGTCTTCGTAGAGACGACTATTCACCGCCTCCTTCGTCGAGGATCTATTGGAAACTCCAAAAAGGAAGCGGAGATCAGGACAAGAGCTCGTGTTCTGCCGAGCCAACCGCACTCTCCACAGTCCATCACAGATGCCTGTCAGCCGCATCGGAAAGCTCTAGCATGGAGTTGCGGAGCTACGGATGGGGCATCACTTACTGTTCAGATGCCACAAGGCATTGTGTCCATGACCGAAATCTATTCTCAGCTCAAAGACGATCACTCAGAACTTAGAAGAGGTTCACGAGAAAAGGGCGGCGAAGCCCGGATACACCGGATCGGACACCCCGCGGACGGCGACACAGCGACTAACACGGCGATCGGCTCATTTGTCGCAGACGAGTGAGACTCGCGCGTGCTGATCCGCGCTTGCGCGCTTGTAACGTTGCTCGACGCCGCGGATGGTCAGCGTGAAGCGCATCTTATGCCAATAAGCGGAGGGCGAGTGACGGCTTAGGGCTGCCATGCTGCCCTACTGCTTCGCCATCGTGAGCGAGCTACGATTTGTTAGACTCCGCGCCGGTGCTCACTGGCGCCGGTGTCTCTCCTCCTCCTGCTGTGCTCGTGGTGGCGGAAGGTAGGTCTGATTTTGGGGCTGATCTGAACGTGGGATGGCGCCCGCCACAGCCGTAAGCCCATGACGCTCGACGTTTGCATCGCGGAACGCCAGCCCCATCCTTTGAGGAAGCACGCCCCGACCACTCGGACTCGGGATTCTTATGTCAAGTCTTTTTTTTTTCTCTTCCTGTACGACGAGGAAACAGTAAGGTTGCAGCGGGCAGCGGACGCATGCGTTGGCGAAGAAACCGTTTCTGGCGACCAAAGGCAACACGAGGAAAAAAGAGCCACCTGACGTTGCGTCCCGCCGGCATTCTGTGGGGAAAAACAAGAGATCAACACCTGTTGGCGGGAAAGTCGCCCGACGCACAAATGAGCCAAGTCATGCATATTGAATCGAGAGACCTCCTCTGCGACGGCCTAAACAAGCTGGCAAAAGTGTCAAAAACGAACAAAATCTTTGCTTCCAAGAGTCCTACGTCTATTTGTGATACCTCATTCGGAATCAGTAAATCTCTTCCCTCAGAAGCGGCTGGGAGGAAATAGAGGCTGGCAAACCGGGGCAAAGATGCGGAACCAAGGAATGCTAAACCCGAATAACCTTAGCGGTCTTCAATTGCTAAAACAAGCCCAGGATGACAGCCCTGTCGCATGCACCGGTCAACTACGCACCGTCGTCGGTCCGTTGCAGCAGCAGCCAATTCGAGGCAACGCGTGTTTGCTCCCGCCCCATGCCATGAGCCCCCAACGGCGCTGGAAATCGGGGCTAGTGAATACGAGAATAATCCTCGCCTCGTTCTAGTGGCCCTTTCCCCACGTCAATAAACCAGATCTGTGATCGGCAGTGCAGGTGGTGCTTTTTCTACAGACTACGGAGAGACTCTCTCTTTTCCCTTGCTTCCCGTCGACCTGCGCCGCTCAATACGAATTGAAGGAACCCTGGGGAAGGCTTACCCCCTCCGGCAGTCATCCCATACGATGTGACATGTAGTATGGAGTCCCGCCAAGCCGGCCAAGGGTCCTGTTGCCGGCCATGTCACGGCATGACGCTATTGCCGGAGAGACCGCAACGTCATGGATGACTTTTTCCCGCCTTCTTACTCTGTTTGCCGTTGGAGACAATGATCCGCTTCGGTTCGGGTCTGGTGATGGAGCCTAGTGAGGAGGCTGATCATTGTTGGGGATGAGCTGAGATCGAGGCTGTATAAGAAGAGACTGAAGACTCGCCTCATCTGACTTACTTCTCTCTCATCCTCATCAGCTTCTACATCAGCTTCTCCAACAACTACTTACCAACAACTCTAAAACAAGCTTCCAAAGCTCCATCTACAACACCACCTCAACCACACCCACAACCAACATATTCAAGATGCAGTTCTCCAACCTCGTCACCATCCTCTCTTCCGTCGCCGCCGCGGCCGCCGTCTCCGTCTCTTACGACACCGGCTATGATGACGGTTCCCGCTCTTTGACCGCCGTCTCCTGCTCCGACGGCGCCAACGGCCTCATCACCAAGTACGGATGGCAAACACAGGGCCAGGTCGCAAAGTTCCCCTACATCGGTGGCGCTGACGCCATTGCCGGCTGGAACTCCCCCAGCGTAAGTTGATGGATTTTCCCTCGTCCTCTTCACCAACACTTGCTAACACATCTCAACAGTGCGGCACCTGCTGGCAGCTCACCTACAACGGCAAGAGCATCAACGTCCTCGCCATCGACCACGCCGGCTCCGGCTTCAACCTCGCCCTCGGCGCCATGAACGACCTCACCAACGGCCAGGCTGCTCAGCTCGGCCGCATCGATGCCCAGGCTACCCAGGTTGGCCTTGACGCCTGCGGTCTGTAAATCAAACCGACGACAGCGAAACAATGTGTTTTTAACGACGAGAACGGCATATTAATCAGCATCAATAATTGGAGGGTGGCTGACATGGGAAAGCCCCCGACATTGCATGGAACCGGCGCTATTCAATCCTTTGGCATATGCATATCACGATACATTCCTTACATAGAAGCATAATCAATCATAATGAGACGTGGCTAGCTGCCTCTGTCTATCAGCATTACAAGAAACATTTATAGCAATGGGTGATTCAAACTTTTCGATATCTTTGATCTTACAGCAGTGTCTTGAAGTTGTTCGTGTACGCAATTCACCTGAAAGTGAGCTGGGGCACGAAACTCGGATTCATCAGCTTCATTTTGCCCAATTTCATGAGTCTATCCACACATTTCTGCATTGAGGAAGCTTGGGGCAAAATCATGAAAAAATGGCAACGCGGTGTTACCGCACATACTCAACAACGGCACCAGTCCGACCTTCAACCGGCCCGGCCGAAATATGGAGACAGCGAAGCCGGGGCCGCGCCGGACAAAGTGGAGCCCACAGACCGATGATTCGAGAGTTGGATGTCTTAATACACCCCCTGACCCAAGCACTGTATAATCGGACGACTAGTTGGCATGGCACTCGTAGAATTCGCCGCCGTATTTCCAATTTCCACCAGACTGGCCACCGCCGATACATTGGCCGAGAATATCGCCCATTGCTTCCTACGGCCCAGGTCAGCACCGTCGCATGAGGTCCTATACTCTGACTGTCATTGCCGAATAACACGTACCTCGCAATACAAAGTTGGCTTGGTCCTCGGGACCGTCATGCTGCATACTACGCCACCGCCGGTGGTGACCTTGTTGGCGCAGGCGCCGGCGGGGCCGCGAGCGCGGCAGAGCTCGGCTGCGCGGTTCTTGTAGGGGGCGTTTGCTTTGGGTGCGCCGCCGGAGCAGTCTGCTGCCATCGCGGCGGTTGCGGATATAATAAGGGATGATATGAAGAACTTCATGGCTTGGATTTGTTCTGGAGTAGATAAGTAGATGACGAGTACCAGGCAAGTTGGTGACAATTGAATAATTTCACCTAATTATTCAAGAACATTGGCGTGGTTTATTTGCTTTAATGAAGAGAATAGTCCTTGGAAGATCCAACAACTCTTTATGTATTTACTCTCTCATACAGAAGGGTTCAATCTCAGTAAGACATAGACACCTTGAGCAATATCTCAGGCTAGGAATGAGTACACGCACGTAGGCAAGTAGAGTTTAGTCACGCACACGGCGGGACTTAGTCTGTATGCCATCTAGCCTCGACCTTTTGTCTTCTACCTTACTTTCAACCGCCTAGTCCATACAACTTAGTCTCAACAGTATGCTGTGGATCTAGGTCAGTAAACCTCCACGCTTAGCAACTTCGCTTACTCAGACCCTTCAGCTCAACATTTCACATACCTCAATAGGAAGGTAATCATAGATAATGTACCTAAACTCGCAGGTCTGTTCATAAATCGCTAGTAAAGAGAAGGATAGTCTGTGTTATGAAAACAGTGTCCCTATTGTGGCTCCGTAGGCTGCAGCGTTTCATCGCGCAGGTGCTGTTGTCAAGACTAGCCTCTAAGTCCTTGACATCGTAGAACTTAGCGCTAGTAGTTGGGCAGGGACTCGAACGAACTAGAGGATGTGAGGAAGCTCTATATGATTCAAGTGAGTAAGCAGATACAGCATTTAGCTGCCCAGCCTATACATATGCTGACTGTAACAACCCAAGTTCCCAGGAAACTTTATCTGTCTTGTGGATATTTTGAGACTAATGATCCACGTTACGAAGAGAATCTGGAGGTGATCAGACGTAGCTGGGTACTTTAGATTTGTGCGGAATTCCGTCGGCATGAGTCGCAAGACTCAGCGACTTTCGAGAGATCTTACTGCCTAGTATTACAAGTGGATAGGTTGAGAGCTATCCCTGAGGCGGTCTACATGTGTAAGGGACTAGAGACCCTCGGAGATAAACTCCAACTCCCAATCACACTTTCTGTCGTGAGTATGGCAAAGACGCTGTCAGCAGCCTGCTCAAGTCACTTAGCCTGATTAGGACTACAAGAGACAGGTTACATAGGGCAACGGACATATAAGACGGAGTGACGCCGCACGTGAACATGAGCTAAGAAACACATCACTCAACTCAATCACCACTCACTACCCAAGAGCTCACGGTGATTTTCAACAACATTCTCATCAGCCTCCTGGCTGCTGCTCCTCTCTCTAATGCCGCCGCCGTACCCTCAGCTGCCTCCAGCGAGCCCGCTTTTGAACTCATCTCGGAGGTTTATGAAGCAGGTCAGATGGTCACTAACCCAGACATCAACATCGGCGCCCCTGTCACCAGTGCAGCTGAGAAGCGCGAGCACGCTGAGTGCTGGAACAACAGTAAGCTTTCCTTAAACACCGAATGGTTCCTACCTTCTCCCTGCCTCTAGAGCCCATCTCTCAGTGCCCAGCGTCTTGATGCCCTGCTCCTTGAAAATTCTTCGTCAGCTTTCAAAAGGTAGCGTTTACTAAACCAAGACGGATTGCAGTGATGACGACCAGGCAGAATCAGGAGGCCTACATTGACGACTGCGAAAACATTGCTCAGCGACTATCGACGTCGAACATCCGCATCACGCTCCCGCCCGGACGAGCCGAAGAGTTCCGCTCCAACCAGCACCGCTGCAAGATTATCATCCGCAACCCAGAGCCGGTGCCAGACGTTCGAGCCGTACCGTGCCACACTCGGTGTTGCGGCCCAGTCGACGATGGATCATTGCCCGAGCTTGGCCCAGCACAGCGGTTGGGGCTACTTGACCGGCAACCGGAACTTGATTTATATCGTGGAGCCGTTGGATGTTAGCCCGCCTACCTACTCGCCTGGATGCTAGTTAAAGAGCATCGTAGGCCGTAAGCTTGCGAAAATTAAACGGCACTCTTGATCTTGTAGTATTTAGGGACTTGGATTATGAGTTGACTGTATAAAGCGGGCCGCGGATGCTTTACAATCAACGCGGGCTCTTGGTAGCATTCAATCTCAGTTTACCACGAAATCAGAATCTCAGATTTTCGTCAAGATTTCTCCAGACAGCAGCTTAGAAACACAGAAGCGATCCCCGAAGATATGAAAATATGATTAAGTACCACTTATCTTCCTGCTCGACATTCGAATGACGACTGTTGAGCCGCTTAGAGAGAGAGAGAGAGAGAGAGAGAGAGAGAGAGAGAGAGGCGACGTCACTCAGAATGGTGGGGTTGTATGTCTAGACTTTTAAGCAACGATGTGAGGCAGAGCCGCGTTTATCTCATTGCCTAATACGGTTTAGCAGAAATCTTTGGACTGCCTTGGAGAGACTGGCCAGGCCTCCTGGAGACAACCCAAGTCATGTTGCGGCATGGATGACAAAAGTGAACAATGCCGGTGAAGATTCGAGAGTCAAGAGCACGTGAATGGAGGGGCAGAACAGGTACGTACCGGGTAGAATGGGCATTTTCTGCAGGCGCGTCCAGTAAAGTTGAGGAGGGGTACCTGGACTTGACCCCGCCTTGCATCAATTTTTTTTCTTTCCCCCTCCAAGCACTGCTACTCCCCCTTATCTTATCAGCAGTGGCGGGGCTCATCTCGAAATTTTCACGCTGGTCCCCTAAAATTTTGTGTGGTGCAGTCGACGGGGTGCCTCTCAAAGCTGTCATTTGGCTGGAGGTTTTATTATTTTCTCATTATTTTTATTTTATTTTTTTCGTCGTTGCGGCATGTCATAGGTGGTTCGGGCATCAACAAAACAACTGGCCGACACCCCGTCCTGGTCCTTCTGTGCTTGGATAAAATTCAGTTGCGCCGGGTCTCTACCTTCCTTTCCCCTTCTCTCACCTCCCTCTTTTTTTTTTTTTCCTTCCCCTCCTCGTCTTCTCCTTCTTTTGCGCACAGTTGTGAGGACGACGAGACTCCAACAGAACCTCAAGATGGATAAAGGAAACTTGGTCCAGCTGCTCCAAGCGAGCCAGATTCGTAAGTTACCTTAGTCAACTACTCTTTGCTTTCCCCATCGCCCTGTGCCACCCCGGCCGCAAACCTAGTCGAGCCCGCCTCCCTCATTTCGTCGCCCTCGCTTGTTTTGCTTCGTGTTTTTTTTTCTTTTTTTTTTTTCGCCTATAAATTTTGCTTTTTCTTCCAGACCTTGCTTGACTTCTGACTTCCTACGAAATCTGTCTTGCTAATGTGTTCTTCGCTCTCCAGCCGACACCGAGAAGGTCAAGGCCGTCACGGCTGAGCTTCAGAAGAACTACTACTCCAAGCCCGAGTCTCTTCTTCTCCTCATCGAGATCACCATCTCCCACGATGACGCCGCCATCCGACAGCTGGCCTCCGTCCAGGCTCTGCGCCTGACCTCCAGACACTGGAGCAAGATTGATGCCTCCCAGCGCGAGGCTGCCAAGAAGCACATTCTGGACAGCATTCTGAGCGATCAGTCTGCCCCCTCCCGCCACTCCAAGTCGCGTCTCCTTGCTGGAGCTATTGGACTCGACCTCGAGGATGGCGAAGGCCAGGACTTCGTTCGTGGCCTGTTGTCTCTCAACGTTGGCGACAACGTTGCCCACCGCGAGGTTGGCTCCTACATCCTCTTCGCTCTGCTCGACAACGACCCCACCCACTTTGTGGAGCAGGCCCAGCAGCTTCTCGGCCTCGTCCAGAAGACCGTTGTCGACCCTGCGAGCGCTGACGTCCGCCTGAACTCTGTCAAGTCGATTGGCGCCCTTCTGATGATCGTCGACCCCGAGGAGGATGCCCAGAGCGTCCAGGTTATCCAGCAGCTCGTCCAGCCCATGGTCGAGATTCTCAAGAACGCCATCTCCGAGGGCAACGACGACTACTACCGTGATGTCTTTGAGGTCTTCCAGTCTTTCCTGGCCTACGACTCTGCTTTCTTGGGCCCTCACCTCAAGGACCTCATCCACTTCATGCTCGAGCTCGCTGTCAACAACGAGGTTGAGGAGGAGGCTCGCTCGCAGTCTCTGGCTTTCCTCAGCCAGTGCGCTCGCTACCGCCGCATGAAGATCCAGGGCATGAAGGATATGGGTGCCCTTCTCATGGTCAAGAGCATGCAGATTGTCACCGAGATCGAGACTGATGACGATGACGACGAGAACTCCCCCGCCAGAACTGCCTTGAGCCTCATCGATCAGCTGGCCAATGACCTGCCCCCTCGCCAGGTCATCGTGCCTCTGCTTGAGCAGTTCCCCCAGTTCGCCCAGAACCCCAACCCTGGCCACCGCAAGTCCGCCATGCTTTCTCTCGGCACCGCTTCCGAGGGTGCCCCCGACTTCGTCGCCACTCAGATTCAGCCTCTGCTGCCCATTGTTCTCACCTTGTTGAACGACCAGGACAGCTCCGTCCGCCACGCTGCCCTTGTCGGCCTCATCCACCTCGCCGACGAGATGGCTGACGAGCTCGCCCCCAAGCACCGCGAGCTCATCGGTGCCCTGCTCACCAACCTCGAGGCCGTCGCTGGCTCCACTGATAGCCAGAGCGTCAGAATCATCCGCGCTGCCTGCGGTGCGCTTGACTCTCTCATTGGTGAGGGTCTTGATGACGAGCTCATCAAGGAGTTCGGCCCCAAGCTTATTGTCCCTATGGGCAAGCTTCTCCACCACGAGGACTTCTCCGTCAAGGGTGGTGCTGCCGGTGCCATTGGCGCCATTGCTGCCGCTCTTGGTAGCGAGCAGTTCAAGCCATACTTCGCTGAGGTCATGGGTGCCCTTGGCCAGTACGTCACCATTAAGGATGGCGAGGAGGCTCTTAACCTCCGCTCGGCCGTCTGCGACTCCATGGGCCGCATTGCCGACGCTGTCGGCGCCCAGGAGTTCCAGCCCTACGTCATGGACCTCATGAAGGCTAGCGAGGAGGCTCTCAGCCTCGACAACGCTCGTCTCAAGGAGACCAGCTTCATCCTTTGGGCTTCCCTGTCCAAGGTCTACGGCAAGGACTTCTCACACTTCCTCCCCGGTGTCTTCAAGGGTCTCTTTGACTGCCTTGAGCTCGAGGAGGAGTCTCTGTCTATTCCTGGCCTTACCGAGGAGGATATCCCCGAGGGTCTGCTTATTTCCAACGGCAAGAAGCTCAACCTGAAGGCTGCTGCTGCTGCTGCTGATGATGACGACGAGGAGGACATGGACGAGGATGCCGACTGGGAGGACCTCGAGGACTTCGCTGGTGTTACTGCCGTCGCTCTTGAGCAAGAGATAGCGCTTGAGGTTCTTGGCGACGTCATCACCCACTCCTGCGACGGCGCTGCCATCGAGCAGTACCTCGCCGATGCTATGGGCAAGGTTTCTCCCCTGGCCCAGCACCCCTACGAGGGAGCCCGCAAGGCTGCCATTTCTACCCTCTGGCGCGCCTACGCCCGCGTCTGGCAACTCTACGAGGAGTCGACCGGCGCCAAGTGGGAGGCTGGCTACCCCCCCAAGCAGGACCCTGGCCAGGTCATCAACGACCTCGGTCAGTCTGTTGTTGAGGCCACTCTCAGTGTCTGGGAAGAGGACAGCGAACGGTATGTGAACGAACATCTCTTTTTTGCTTCCCCGACCCCCGCCCTAAAGGATGAGTAACTCTCGTTATACCCAGCTCACTCAGACGCACAATGTGCGGTTGCTGAGAACACGATTGATCACGTCTGATTCATTGGGCATCTTCATCATTTTAATGGCTAGCGTTTGGTCGGGCATTCAGCTAACGTTTCAACAGCTCTGTCATCACTGAGATCAACCGTAACATCGCCGCCACTCTCAAGTCATGCGGTCCCGCCATCCTTACACACAACGAATTGCTCAAGAGCAGCTTGACTATCCTCGGCTGCCTCATCACTCGCTCTCACCCCTGCCAGATGGATCTCGGCGAGGAGGAGGAGGAGGAGGAGGCGGCCGAGGGCTCTTCTGAGTTCGACTGGCTCGTCATTGACACCGCCCTCGATGTCATCCTTGGCCTCGCCACTGTCCTTGGCAGTGACTTCGCCGAGATGTGGAAGGTCTTCCAGCAGCCCATCCTGAAGTTCGCCAGCTCCCAGGAGTCTCTTGAGCGTTCCACTGCCGTCGGTGTCATTGCCGAGGCCGTCAAGTACATGGGCCAGGCCGTCACCGAGTTCACCGACTCTCTCCTGCCCGTCCTGATCCACCGCCTGACCGACCCCGACTCTCTCGCCAAGTCCAACGCCGCCTACGCTACCGGCCAGCTCATCTTCAACTCCCAGGCTACCGACAAGACCATCTCCCAGTACCCCACTATCCTGGAGAAGCTCGAGCCCCTCCTCCAGATCAAGGAGTCTCGCATGGTCGACAACGTCTCCGGCTGCATCTCCCGCATGATCATCCGCAACCCCAACCCTGAGTTCGTCGCCCGTGTCCTGCCTCCTTTGGTCGATGCCCTTCCCCTCCAGGAGGACTACGAGGAGAACGCCCCCATCTACCAGGCCATCTACAACCTCTACGACTCCCAGAACCCTACGATCGCCAGCCTCACCCCCAAGATCCTGCCCGTTCTGCAGGCTGTTCTCAGCCCGCCTGAGGAGCAGTTGGAGCCCGAGACCCGCCAGTTGTGCCAGAAGCTTGCCCAGGCCCTTCACTAAACGTGTGATGGCTAGAGCAAGCATTGGAGGAGGGTATTGAAGCAGGAACTTTTGTGTTGCCCCCTTAGGGGCTGTTAATGAGTGATGAGTGGATGAGACACCCCCATTTCCTACAAAGTCTGTAGATAGGTTCATAGATTGCCAGGGTTAGACTTCCTGGATGATTCCCAAAATGCTCTATCAACTTTTTTATGTCCAAACATTTGAGATACCTTACACCGTCTAACTGATTGTATGGTCACTTGACGTTCACTCCGTGACTGATGAAACGCTGTCGCACTTCAAGATGCTGGTTCCGAGCGCGATGGGGTTAACCACGATATCCTCGAACAGAAGAAGCGTCTCCAAGCGAGTGAATGGAAATGGAATGTCGACATTCGCTATCAGCCTCTCTCCAGATTTATACTTCTTTCTCGGTCTTTTTCTTTGCGATAATGGATAGAAAATGTCGATTCGTGCTGCAGAACACGCACTACCTTATCCGCCGCCCACCGGATTGGAATACGAAGCCAGGCTGATCGAGAGGCTGTTGTGCTTGGGCCATCTCATAACTGATTTGGCGCACCTTGACAACATTATCAACGCTCAACAGCCTCTGGGAATCCCGGCGGATTTGCCCATCTACCGTAAAAAGTCCGAGACCGTATCCTGGGAGCATGGTTCAGGGCCCTCGATCAACCAATCCGGTCAGACTGGTGCACCGATTGTGGCGGCTGCTGGTATCACTGTGACTGCCAGCGCCGGCATAGCCTTCCAGAAGACTGTCATCAACCACAGCGAGTCCAAGGTGCTCGATACCTACACGATCCCAGTAACGCCGTCATACATGGAGGACGGCAATGATACTAATGAGATGTCGAACTACACACGAAAAAAATAATAGAATGGGGTCATGGTCTTTATTATGGTCACTGGCATTACTATTGCTCGTGGCGCGCAAATCGTCCGGTCAGAGAGACGTAAAATGGGAGTCCAAGGCGGCCTCGGAGCGTAAGACAACCAACTGCAAACCCCCATTTGTTTTGAAGGAGATCAATAAACGTTTTGACATCAAGACTAACTTCTTGCGGTGGTTCCTCTGGGCTGGCTAATGTTAGTGTTAACATAGAGAATTCGTCAGAAGACAATATCTCGATATCAGGAGAGCGAGTTTCTGACTTCATATGGGCGGTGCGACTCACCAAGATACGCAAGGGTATTATGGATATGCGGCACATGAAACTACGAGACCTATTCCAAAAGGGGCAACTTACATTGTGGGTCCTGGGGCTACTCTTGTCGAAATGAAGGAAATTCTCTACAAGGAAGGGGTTGCGAACAAACGGATAATGGCACCTGGCGATGGTCGCGAGATCTTTGTAGTTTAACAAGTTTTGAGACGTTCAATCGCTACGCCTCTCTTTCTTCCTCGCTAAGAGTCCATAAACTGCGATCAAATAATAGAATGTTTCAAATGCAAAGGAAGCCAATTATTTCTCTCCCCCTGATGCCGCAAAACATAACATGCTTACGTAAAGATACGTGAAGAACAAAGTAGCTATTATATTACGCCTTTTTAGTGTAGGAAAAGTTGTGGACTTTTAGCTAACAAACGAGATTTAGCTTGTACGAGGCAGATATCTGGATCAGAGCCTGGTTCCTTTGTGCTCACTGTTCTCGAACAGTTTCTCCCTTTCCCGTTTCTCTGCAGCAGACTTATTTTGTTACCGATACTGTGAAAAGCAGACAAAGCCGCCTCCCTAGGTTCTTGTTCATCCGCAGCCCAAGGTGAAAATACTTAAACATCCGCTTTTTGCAAGGGCGACGGCCACTTTGAGAAATGTTCCATCACGCATCACAATCTATACGCCTTGCCAATTTCCACCACCCAGCAACATCCCAATATGAAAGCCTGTCCCATCAGTCAGCGCAGTTTGCAATGCGAGGCTGCTTTCGAACGGCTCGTCAGTCATCCAAGATATTTTTTTGCTGGGGATTGGGTGAAAGTGTCAGACAGCCAGGCCAACTTTGATATCTGGGCTGCTGCCACCAATGCGAAAGATAGCGGCGAATTGTCACTCGATCATCGCGTGTCTAATAAGAAGGATGTGAGTAAAAAAAATATGCCATCATCTCGATCGCGTGCTGGAGGCTTTGGAGAGGCTTTTGGAATTAGGTTGGTGCCCCGATCGGGATTATCATCTCCACAGCATACTAAATCCCAGGCTAGTAGGTTCTGAGGGTTTCAACAAACTTGTTACTTTTGAGACCTCAGTACGCATGCAAGAAGACTTTAATGTCCAAGGAGACAACGAATCAGAAGGTTCGGTTTCAGAATTGACTACGTCCAGTGACCGGACTGAAGATGACAGCTTGGAGGACCTTTAATGAGGAATGGAAGATTTACATGGAAAAGTTTATTAAGAATCTTTCAGAAACATCTACCCTCGAATCATTGATATATATAAGCGCAAGGACCGACGCACAGCTCAACGAAGCGATGACCTTGTGCTCAATAAAGAGGGCGAAGAAGAGACCGGGGAAAGCGTCCCAGCGTTCGGCCAGCTTGGTCAAGCGGCCCCGAATGTCTAGATTACTGAATTGAAGGATGGCCATGTACCTTCGGTCGAGGATTCGGCAAAGGAGCTGGCGTTCGACGTTATTGAAAGTGTAGATGAGGAAGCTGGCGCAGCCGGTAATGGAAGAACCCCTGGTCTCGGAAACGTTAGCATGCAGGTCGGATAATGTTCATCATCTGAAAATCTGCACAGTAAGTCATGTTTTAATGGAGACAAGAAAATATTTCTATATGAATGACTTCTATTTGAGTACGAGATGTCTGTCTACAGAAGGCGGTTTTAAGGGCCAAGGGACTCTCTTTCTTTTCCAGCGTGATTCCCAATCATACCAAGCCGTCCTGCTTCAGATCTCCTAAGTTCCGAGTTCTGTCCAAGGAAGCCTGGCCCGTAAAATGATGGACATGTATTTACGTACTTTCTGCGAGCAACCTCAACTTTGACCGGGCAATGAGTCAGGGTAGGTCGCTGGGTGCTACTGATCCATTCATATTTTGCCTTGCTTGAACTATTCATCGCTTCTGTTGCGATGGCGGTGACTCAGCTTGTTCTACAAGCAGCCACGACGATCATTCCACAAGCAGACGAAAGCATCAAAGACGCCCATGCTAGCTAGTTAGGCGAGGCATGCATCCCCTGAAGGAGGTAAGACATCTTGTCTCACGCTTCGGCAGTTGATCGCAGAGAATATTCAACCCCCTTATCTTGGCTTGCTTGGCACCTCTCCGTCCCGCTACTTTGGTTTTCCGTTTGTTTCTCTCTAAATCCGGGAGATAGACGTACCTAGACACCACAGAATTGCCAGTTTGGTACCAACGGACGTGTTCATCTGATGCAGTTCCAGCCAGCATATCTGACCAAGCCGCGTGGTTTTAGCTTCGTTCATTTTGCGTCATTGATCTGCAATCTTTGAAAGCTGGGCATGCGGTGGCAAAGCTCTAGACTGACGCTGTTGCAATATCTTTGATTCCTGCGTAAATACGTGGAATGTATCGGACTTCAGCTGCACTGAGTGCAGCATCACTGTGACGGTAGTGCCTTAGGGTAACCCTAAGTAAAAAGTCCGCCATCAAAGACCCGGAGACAGTTGATGGCGAAGCAAGCGTTCCGGCCGCGGGAGAATTTCAAGAGCTGGGCACTGGCATTCAGTCTGTCACGCTGGATGATGGAGACACAGGACATGGCGCTATTGTCTTCCAGACCCCAGATGATGAGGAGTGTTCGGACTAGGTCCAACACTTGCTATTCTACCTCAAACTGTTTGCTTCCTATGAGCAAGGAGGTGTTGATTCGTTATTTGAATGGTGTTCCCAATTGGCGATGCAGCCTAACTTAGGTATAATGCCGGCTCCAAAGTCTGGTCACAGCATCTATAATTGTATCAAGTCGCCTTGCCAATCCACCTTTACTTTACATCCAACTTATTTATGATTGAAGAATAATAGAAGTTGAAGTATTCTATTAATCTAAATTCTGAATAAAAAGACTGTTTTGACCGAGTCGGCCTACATGTTCTAGTTTGAAATGTATTTATCTTGACTTTGTTGGTAAAGGAGAGTTCACTGGCATAGCTGCTGTGACCGGACTTCTGACCCCTACTTGTACCACAAGACACCTATCACGAATGTTTAGCTAGGAACTCTATATACTTCCTATGAGCTGTACGCACCCTGAAACAACTGAGAGAGAGAGAGAGGGAGAAGATGTATGTAATGAAAGCGTCAAGTCTCGCTCGTCTCACCCTTCAAATGCGTATCTCTTCCACAATTGATACAATGAGCAGACGGGTGAGACGTTTATTGTGAGTTATCGGCAGGTCCGATGCGATACGGGGCCGGCATTATGGGCCTACCCGGTGTGTGTGAGATCGGAGGTGTCCTCCAAGGATCGATCCACCATCCTTGCCTTCCTAAACTTAGCACCTCTTGCCGTACCTTGGGTAAGATAGAATCCATAGCAATAACGAAAGTTTCCAATGACAAAACGTAAAGCGCAATATGTGAGAACTCATTTGAATGAATATTTACATCATAATCATTAGCAGATCTCCCTTGTGAACCCGACCTCTATCAAGCATCGTGGTATCCATCATCTAACCCTCAAAAATTGGTATAAATCCTCGCCTCCCACCCCTTCAACAACGGCGCAACCCCCTTCACCAACTCCCCACCCTCCCTCGTCCCGACTAACAACCGCACCTCAGCGGCCTCACACCCAAGCAAAGCAGCTACATCCCCACCATTCTCCCCATCCTCCCCATCCTCCTTTGAAAAGTTCATCACCACAAGCGCCTTCCTCTTCACCCCGCCCTCTTTACCATTCACCGGCGCAGGGCTCTCCTTGAGTATAACCCACGTCCTCTCGTTGTCAGCGTCAACCAACCGATGTGATCCAAAGACAAACACATCGCGGTGCTGCTTCCTCAGCTTCAGCACCCGTTTATAAAACGACAGAATAGAATCCGGGTCACCACGCTGTTTCGCCGCGTTGATGGACTTGTACTCATCATGCACCCTCATCCACGGCTTCGCGCCCTCCCTCGTGAACCCTGCATTCGGGCTATCGTCCCACTGGAACGGTATCCTTGAGTGGTCCCTCGCCAAGATCCGCAAGCCGTGCATCGTCTTCTCGATCCGCTCCGCATCTCCAGACTCCAACGCCTCCGAGTAGAAATTCCCGCTCTCGATATCTTTATACTCCTCGATCCCCCAGCTGGCCGGCATATTGGTCATACCAATCTCCTGACCCTGGTACAAGAACAGCGTCCCGGACATGGTGGCCTGCCACAGCGCAATCGTCTTCGCCGAAGCAAGCCACAGCTCCGGCGTAGAATCGTCGCCAAACCTCGACACCGCACGCCCATTATCATGGTTCTCGCAAAACGCCGTCGCCCACGCGTCCGTCCCCTCGATGAAAGACTGCCACGTCTCCGTGTACTTCTTCAACGTCGACAGCGGGAACGGCTGATAAATATACTTTGCGCCGAACCCATTCCCGTTACCCAGACGAATCACGGAAAACTCAAACACCATGTCCAGCTCCTTGGCCGCGGCCGAGACGTAAGGGATCACCTGCGACGGGTGCGGCGTCAGGGACAGCTCGCCGACGGAGACGGCGTTATACGGCGCCAGGGCCTTGCGGTTCATCTCGCGGATGTACTCGTGGATGCGGGGGCCGTTGCACCACATCTCCGGCGCGGGCTGGTGCGGCGACGTGGGGTCGGTGATGGGGGCGTCGACGAAGTCTGTGCGTTTGGAGTACTTGTTCACGGTATCGATGCGGAAGCCGTCGACGCCGCGCTCCAGCCAGAAGCGCATCGTGTCCTCGTAGATTGCCTCGCGGCAGGCCTCGTTGTCCCAGTTCAGATCGGGCTGGTCGGGGGCGTATAGGTGTAGGTAGTACTCTTGGGAGTGCTCGTCCCAGGTCCACGTCGGGCCTGCAAAGTACCCGCGCCAATTTGTCGGTGGATGCCGCACGCCGTTGGCATCGTAGCGCGCAGGCTTCCAGATGTACCAGTCGCGTTTGGGGTTCTCCTTGGAGGAGCGGGATTGCTTGAACCAGTCGTGCTCGACAGAGGTGTGGTTGACGACGAGATCGAGAATGACCTTCATGCCGCGCTTGTGGCACTCGTCCAGCAGGGCATCGACGTCGTCGACGGTGCCGTAGGGTGCGTAGATCTTTTGGTAGTCGGAGACGTCATAGCCCATGTCGGCCTGGGGGCTCTCGAAGATGGGGGAGACCCAGACGACGTCGACGCCGAGCTCGTGGAGGTAGTCGACCTCGGCGATGAGACCGGGAAGATCTCCCCAGCCGTCGCCGTCCGAGTCCTTGAAGCTGGCGGGGTAGACTTGGTAAAAGGTTGCGTCCTTCCACCAGGGCTGCTTGCCTACCCAGCGGTTCTCATCATCCCAGACGAGAGATCCCATGGTGAAGGAGGGGGTTGTTGAGGGGGTATCAAGCCACACTGTAATGAGGGTGGGCTTGTCGTCGACCGGGTAGGTGGAAGAGAAGAGAACGAGCAGCAGAGAGAGAGAGAGAGAGAGAGAGAGACGGACAGACGGCCGAAGAAGGAGGAGGGACGAGCAGGAGAGGAGGATAGTCGAGTTGAAAGTCGAGTGTGGGAGAGGCTCAAGGTCAATGGGCAGAGGTCAGGACGCGCCGGAACGATTCGCATTTTGACTACGCGGCGTATGGGCTGCATGGGAATTGGGACGGCAGCGATCAGCGGCCGGGGCAGAAAAATGGCGTGGCGACATGACATGCAGCGGAGAGAAGAGCGATGGGCATGGGGGGGGGGGGGAGTATGCGTAGCGGGCATTCGTACGAAGGGAAATGGACTGCGGATACAGTTGTGATTATCGTGGTCGTATGTGCGTTGAGTTGTTCATTTCGGGCGAGGGTTTCTGCTTCTACCGAGGACGGTAAGGGGGGGATATGAATGTCGTGCCGGCGGAATCAGTCTGTAGAAGGGCCGTGGGGAGAAAGGATGCATCGTGCGAGGTGTGACGGGGTGAGAAATTGCAAGAGAGTGCGTTTGTCGGTGGAGATGCCGATGGGAGAATGGGCAAATAGCTAACGGAATCCCCGCCCTTTCTTGGTTATCTAATTGCTGAGTCTTCGCAGCTGCTCGATGCGTCTCTCTCTCACAGGCTCACAACAAGTATCCGTTAGGAGGAAATGTATGCAACGTGTGGTCGCAGGAGGGCAGGTTTCCCCCCCCCCCACTCCGCATTGCTCCCGCCCGTTCAAGGTGCCAAGGTGGATACGAAATATCCGTACGGAGTACTGCTGTTGAAGAAGCGGCATGTCTCTTCGTTTTCCATTTGGATTTTACGTCGCTGACTTTGGCTTTTAATTAGCGCTCCGGCGGCTTGGGAAAGAAAGTGCGTAGACTCCGCATCCGCCGCACATGTTCGGTATCGGATGATCATGCATTGGGGTCAAGAGGAACAGACCGTCGCACAAGATGCAAAAAGTTGAAGAAAGAGAAATCTTCAACGGGCGGAGACTCCGCCTTCGCTGTCGGCGCAAAGAGTGGAGACAGCCCGGACCCGGAGCTGCTCCGCTAGACTCCGCACCACCCTCCGGACCCCACCCCCCCCTGTCTCCCGCGGGAGCCACAAACGTCATGGCCGCCCACCAATCAGAAGTCCCCTCAGTCAGACTCGAGAAGAAAAAGTGGTGATGAGCTTCAGGGCCGTCAGAAAAGTCTGGAGAACTGGGCTGGCTGGATCATGGCTGGGTTGGTCGCGTTCCCGAATCTGGGGAAAGCCGGGAACAAACTCAACTACGGGCCAGGCTGACTGACTCAGGTGGCTACGCCGCACATCCGCATGGAGCTCGGCTCGGGAAACAGGAGGCGCTCAATCTAGTTTCGACCTCGTGAGATGCCATCATGCGAATAGCGTCACTCCATCATTCCCGATCCCTACTTTTTTTTTCTTTTCTTTCTCCCCCTTATTCCGTACGGTAACTCCGTTGACGAGAACTGTCACCGGCGGAGTCTCCTGTTGACGCCTCGTGCCACCATTCTTCAGAATGTCCAGAATGGATGGATCCTAGCTGCATCTTGGCGCGAGTCGAGGACGCCATCACCAGACCTGTGAAAGGTGTAGTGAAGCTCTTTTTCCTCCATCGATCCATGGCTCCAGATTCATGGAGTTGCACTTGGGAAACACTCCAAAACGAGATTCAAGGAACCAATCCTGTTGCTCCAAGCCATCCCCATAACGCCCATCTTCTCTCAGACTACCTTCCTTACCTTACTCCGTACGGATATAATGCTGCACGCCGGTGCATCGTCTCTCCTCATCCTCCGCTTCTCCACAAATTGCCCATGGAGTTGGGAAAAAGACAATGATTCGACAGCCCTTCCCCTCCTCCCCCTACTCCGTACACAGTAAACCACCACCGACCGCCCTCCACCCATACCCGAGGATCGGGCAGGGGTTGAACCACTCGACAAACCACCCCATGTCAACCGAGACTGACATACTTTCAAACCTGCTGCAAAATCCTCACTCACTCTCACCACAATGACTACACGATTAACAACGCAATCACGCCAAACCCATCTTGTCCAGGGACCCCCCCCCTCCCGAACTTGCTCCCCAAGGGGAACCGGAACAGCGCAGTTAAGGCGCACGGTTCAAGCCTAGGCGTCTTGTCACTTCACTTTTAGCTCATTTTTTATTTTCCAACCTCTCTCACTCGACTCACCTTTCTTTCTTTCTTCTGCGTATTGCTGCGCTACGAATACGTCCTAATGTTACTTTGACTACGACCCTTCTCGACGTACCGAAGCTGTCAAATCTCATTCGGGGGTCTGGCGACCATCCTTCGAGGGATATAAGACGCCCCGAATGCCCTCCTCAACTTAATTGATCTCCCTCCCTCAGACGTCCGACTTTCGCGCATCACCGAGTCTCATCCACCTCCTTCGTCTCCCCATCACCATCTCGTAAATCTCATCCAATCCTTTATCCGTCATATCACCAGCATCATAAAACTTGATATCCTGTACATACAACCCTCAACCTCAAAATGGCCGACCCCCAACCCCCCTCCGTCCACGAGGACAAGGAAACAGGCATCCACCACCACGCCTCAACCACAGACGACGCCAACAGCGCAACCCCTAACAGTAAAGATGCCGCCCACCCAGAAGACCTCGCCGCAGAAGCAGCCCAAGCCGCCTCGGCAGAACACAAAATGTCCCTCCTCGAAGCCGTCCGCACCTACCCAAAAGCAATCGGCTGGTCCGTCCTCCTCTCCTCCACCCTCATCATGGAGGGCTACGACCTCGCCCTCCTCAGCAACCTCTACTCCTCGGCCGTCTTCAACCGCACGTACGGCACCTTTAGCGAGGCCCAGAACAAGTACGTCATCTCCGCCGCCTGGCAGTCCGGTCTCAGCAACGGCGCCCGCGCGGGCGAGATCTTTGGGCTTGTCATTGCGGGCTGGACGGCGGATCGGTACGGGTATCGGGTTACGACTATGGGCTTCTTGGTGTTGATGATTGCGTTTATTTTTGTGCTGTTTTTTGCGCCGAATGTCCAGATCTTGGTGCTTGGAGAGGTTCTCTGCGGTATGTCGTTCATCTTTTCTCTGTCTGATGAGGTGTGGTTGGTATCTTTATTCTAACGTCTTGCAGGAATCCCTTGGGGTGCTTTCCAGAGTGTCACGCCAGCATACGCCTCCGAGGTCGCTCCCGTCGTTCTTAGGCCATATCTTACCACATTCATCAACATGTGCTGGGTGAGTCACCATCAGAAGAAGGGGAGCCACGAGACGTTGCAAAACTAACAAAACCATAGGTCATTGGCCAATTCTTCTCCGCGGCCGTCAACAAAGGCTCCTACCAACACAAGGACGAATGGGCCTACAGAATCCCCTTTGGAGTCCAATGGGTCTGGCCCATCCCCATCCTCGTCGGCCTCTTCTTCGCCCCCGAGTAAACCTCCCCTTTCCTTTAGTCTCACCCTTGTATTCTTATTTTCAAAAAGATTTCTCGTCTCTTCTTCTTCTTCTTCTTCTTCTTCTTCTATGCCTTGACTGACAACGACAGATCCCCCTGGTGGTACGTCCGCCACAACGACAAAGCAGGCGCCAAACGCGCCCTCCTCCGCCTCACCTCCCGCAACCAACCAAACTTCAACCCAGACGAGACAATCGCAATGATCCAACACACAAACGAGCTCGAAAAACGCGCAAAGGAAGGCGTAACCTACGCAGACTGCTTCAAAGGTATCGACCTCCGCCGCACCGAAATCGTCGTCGGCATCTGGCTCGTCCAGACCCTCGGCGGGCAGAACCTCATGGGCTACTTTGCCTACTTCCTCACGCAAGCTGGCATGGACCCCGGCAACTCGTTTAGCTTGTCAATGGGCCAGTACGCCCTCGGCATGGTCGGCACCGCGGGCTCCTGGTTCCTCATGTCCCGCATCGGGCGGCGCACAATCCACTTCTCGGGCCTCTGCGCGCAATTCTGCCTCTTACTCATCGTAGGCTGCCTCTCCTTCTCCAACAGCAACGCCTCCGTCTGGGCTATCGGCGCCATGCTCATCGTTTTCACCTTTGTCTACGACTTCACCGTCGGGCCCGTAACCTACTCCCTCGTCTCGGAGCTGTCATCCACCCGCCTCAAAAACAAGACCATTGTCCTCGCGCGCGCGGGCTACAACGCCAGCAACATCTTTGTCAACGTCATGACGAATTACCAGCTCTCGTCGACGGCGTGGAACTGGGGCGCGCGCACGGCGCTGTTTTGGGCGGGTACGTGTTTGCTCTCGTCGGTGTGGGTGTATTTCCGCGTGCCGGAGCCAAAGGGCAGGACGTACGCTGAGCTGGATTTGTTGTTTGAGCACAAGGTCTCGGCGAGGAAGTTTGCGGGCACGAAGATTGATCCGTACTCGCACGAGATCAACAGCGAGAAGAAGTTGGCTGAGGAGCACTGAAGCCTCCTCGTATGTAGCATACCCCTGACGGCAAAAGCAAGAAAAATGTCCAAGGGGACGACGGGTCTCGAGGATGTTGGATACCCCTGTAGTTGGAGTTATTGTACCACTAGATACACTACAAGCGTAATCTCATGCATAATGAACAGGTCTTGACCTCACACCCATATCGTTTAGACTCGACTCTCTTTCCTTTTCACTCAAATCCCACCTCGTATGTCCATGGTATCAAAAACTTTTATCTCACGTCGGCCGACGCCCCAACGTCCCGGCAATGGCCATACTCGGCACAGCCTGCTGAATATGCTTCTCCAGCAAATCATCATAAATCGAATTGCCCCCCGGCAACCTCGTAATCAACCTCCTCATATACTCCAAATCATCCTCCGGCCCCGACCCCGTCCCGCCCATCCGGCCCCTCGGGCTCGACGGCTTCGTAATCGGCACCCGCGCAAGCACATCCACCGCCGCGCTCGCGATATCAAACAACTTCTCCGTCAACCCCACCCCGTGCACTTTGATACTATCCACCGGTAAATCCCGCGTCGACAGCACCAAGTCCTTGGCCACCTCGAGAGGGTAGTGATACGTCATACTCGGCGAGTGAACAGACTGCTCGGCAAGATACCCGAACCGCAAACGCAGCTGCCAGAGGATAATCCTCAACCACAGCTGCGTCACCCGCAAATTCGCCTTTTGCGTATCCTTCAAGTCCGACGTCGACCGCAGCGCGCCATTCACCGCCGTCTCGATATACGTCAACGCCGCGTTCGACGGCGGCGTCGCCACCTTTTCCATATTCAACAGCGCGATAAACGACGTGTCCAACGGACTAAACAGCGCCGCCAGGCTCCAGAACCCGGAGAGGCTCGGATCGTCGGCGCCCAGGGTAGGCGACTCCGCCGTAATCTGCAGCGTCACGGGCCTTCGGTACCGAATCCCGTGCGACCGCTCCGAGACCAACAACACCCAAAACAACCTATCCGCCAACACCACGGCCCTCGGACTCGCCGACGCCTCGGGCGTATTCATCCTCAACAGCAGAAACAACGTCGTCGCCTCCCGCAGGAACAAGAACGCCTGACTGTGGTGAAACAGCGCAGAGTGACACGCATACAGGAAAAACGTAAGCAAACACTGCTCAAACGTCGGATTCGACCGCCTCGCGAAATTCCGATGCGCGGCGAGCGCCTCCTCGAACAACATCCGCCCATGCAACGCATTCTTCTCCGGAATCAACCCCTGCAGCCACAAACTCTCCGGCTCCTCCACCTGAAGCAGCACAAGCGCGCACACTGCCGTCAGCAGACAATGCGCCTCCATGCCGACCTCGCTCGGCCCCGCGACGGCCTTCATCTGCGCAACGTACTCGGGCGTCAGGATCGGGATCGTGGGATGCAGTCGCGCGAAGAAGCGGTCCACGCAGTAATCCATCACGCGCGCCGGTAAGAGGTCCGCCATGCGCTGCACGGCTTCGTGGGGCACGTGGCCGAAAGCCTGGGAGCCGTCGGAGACCCAGGCGAGGGAGACGGGGCCGGGCAGGCCGAGGCACTGGTCGCCTAGGCCGGCGTCGACGCAGCGTTTGCAGGGGCGGTATTCGTTGCATGCGCGGCGGAGGTTTTTGCAGCGGGCGCAGGCGCGGGAGACTTGGGCTCTTTTGGGGCGGGAGCCGCCGGATGAGGAGGATTTGCGGCCGGCGATGCTGCCTACATTGTAGTTACCGCTGCCGTTACCGCTGCCGTTGCCGTTGCCGTTGCCGTTGCCGTTGCCGGAAGAGTCTTGGGCGTCCTCGCTGTGGTCGCGGCGCTTGCCGAGGTGAGAGCTGCTGGTTGGGGATATCGTGGAGGGACTAGCTGCTGGGGGGGCCACCATCGTCTTTTCCATTGCGAAGCCTCATGATGTACCAAGTGGTTTTTCCCGCGCGCGGATGAGAAGTGAGATGTGCGCGCAGAGGGTAGACGTCTGATCTGAAGTGTTGATGTTTTTGGTTGACGTTGCGCTTTTTGGGTTTTACTGTCCACCTTGGATGAGAGAGAGATTGGACTGAGCAGTTGAGTATGACGTGACCTCAACCACGTTACCACCACACACGCAAATGAGTGATGGACGGGGAGTTCAAGGTCCACGCGTGCCGAGAAGCGAGAAGAGGCTGGAGGCAAAGAGACGGGAGAGAAATGTGCCCGTTTCTGCCGGTGCCGGTGCGCGCAGTGGACCTCCATTTCCCCAGTGAGTCACGTGTTACCCCGCTAACCCCGTCCTGGGGGAAGATTCAGGCGCTGTCATTGGCACGTTTGGTGATGGGACGATGCATACGAAGTACCGTCGGGACATGGGATGCTGTCACCGTAAGGTATTGCCGCTCCAGAAGGATTCGTCCGTCAACGATGCAATGCAACTGTGCAGAAACACGCGAGCTGGCGAATGCAATGTTGCCGTTGAGCGTAATGCAAATACTCCTCATATTATCCCTGACGGCCGTTGATCTGTACATCTTTTTTAAAAGTGACCTCCGTCAGGCCATCACCGTGTCTAGTCTAAGAAATCCCCAACGCCTTCGCTATGCACCTCAGACATGTTGTATTATCCATTCCCCACCAAGGAAGGTAAAAAAAAAATTTACTTTTGTCGCATGTTCTTGGGCTTGCGCTTCTTAAACATCACCGCCGGCGCCGCGGCCTCCGTGGTCTCCGTGGCCTCGTCCTCCTTCTTGACGCCGTCCTCTCCCAACGCCAGCACATCAAAACCCTTCCCAGCCTCGTCCTCCACCGGCTCTCTCTTAACAGCCAGCGCATCAGACGTAACCCCCGTCGCATCCTCCTCTTCACCCTCCCGCTTCACCTCATCCCCTCCATGGCCCTCCTCCTCCTCCTTAACACCCACCTCAGCCTTCTCCTCCTCCTCCTCCTTCTTCACAGACCTCATCAGCGTATTCCCACTCAACAACGCATCAAGATCCTCATCATCAGCCGGCATCGCCCTAGTACTCCCCCACTTCCTAGGCCTCTTAAACAGCCCCTCACAGCCTCCTCCTCCTCCCTCTCCTCCTCCGTCTGCTCCCTCTTCCGCACCCCAACAGCCTTGGCCTCAACAGGCTTCTCCCTCTCCGCCTCCTCGTCAACAACCTTTGTCGCAGTAACAGTCCACTCCCCCGCCATCGCCATATCGCCCCGAAACTCGGTCGGTATCGACACCCCCATCTCAGCGAGCTGTTCCATCTGCTGTTTGCGCTGCGACTCTGCTGACGGGGGCGCGCCGCCGCCGCCGCTGCTGCTCGAACCGAGTTTCGAGAATGATGATGATGAATGTGATGACCCCGTGCCCGATGATATCCCCTTCAACCTCTCCACCTCGCGCTTCGCTCGGTCCTTTTCGCGCTCTTCTTGCTCATGGCCGCGGTGGAGGTCGCGCAGGAACCGTTTGAGTGCGCCCTGGTGCTTGCCTGTCGCTTCGTGGTTCTGTCGCTCGAGCTTCGTGTCGCGGACGAAGATGCTGCAGTGTTTGCACCAGTACTTTGGTGTCGATTTCCAGTATTCTGACATCGTTTCGTGTGTGCGTGCGTGGAAAGTGTGTGTACGTGTGTAGAGGTACTGTCGAAAGAGGTGGCTGGGTTTTCGTGTGTTGTCGGAGAGAGAGAAGGTTGGCGGAGACGTCACTGCATGATGCGCGCATGCCAAAATTTGGAGGTTCGCCCCAATTGCCATGCGCTGGGGGCTGTGCAGCTCTTATCTTATCTCCGGCCACATCCCAGCAGATGAAATGTCACTCCCTGCGCAGAGACCTCGGAGGCGAGGCCATGGTCGCCAACATCCAAAAGAATTGTTCATTCAAGCTCAATCAAGCAAGGAGAGTTACTTGGCTCTTCACCAAACATATGGTCACTAGTAAAAGTCATTGTGAACACTGATGCAGCCGAAGATGTGCTGGTATTGCTCTAGTGGCCAGATTACCCAGGAACTTGTCCTAATCCCTTCCAACTATCTAGCTACCTGTTTGCTTGCTTGCAAACCCACCCTCTGCTCTTGAATAAAGTCCGTTCCCTAGTCATCATCATTCAATTAAAGTGCCGATTTCTTGGCAGAGTATTGAGAAGCAAAAATGCCAATTAAACCTTTGTGAACTGATCAAGTCCACCCACACATTTCCTCCTCCAAGTCAAGCGACTTAGATGAGGCAAACGACTGCCATCAAAGTGGCAACGAGAGCAACAAACGAGGCCGGAGCCAGGTTCTGGCCAGCAGCAACGGGAGGAGCCGCCGGGGTGGTCGTGGTCGCAGGCGTAGTCGCGGTGGTGGCAGGGGTGGTCACAACCGCCGTGCTGTTGACGGGGGTCGACGGGACCGACGGGACCGGAACGGGAACCTGCGAGGTAGGGACTGGCGGGACGACAGGCGCGGTGGTCGCAGGAGGAGCGACAGGTGTTCCGGGGGGGGTGTAAGGGGGCTGGCTGGCCGGGGCGGAGGGCGTCACAGTGACAGGGGGAAGCTCGCCGCAGGGAGTGGTGTGGCCCTGGACTTGACCGTCACCGATCTGGCAGAGAGGCACGGGGATCGTGGTCGGGACAACCTGGGGCTGGCCATCGCCGATAATTGTGACGACAGTGGTGACAACCATAGTGGTGCCGACAATCGAGCCAGAGGGAACGGGGGCATCGGCGCCGCAAGCGAGAGCCGAGAGGTGAATGGGCGAACATTGCTCAGCCCAGTGACGGTCGTACAAGTTGTAGAAATCGCCGGAAAGGCAGCGGTAGAAGGTGGTGGAGCCTCCAAGGGCAAGGGAGCCGTTAGAGCAGACGGAGAAACCAGAGCTGTAGATCGCGCCGGCTTGAGCGGGAGGACCGTCGAACTGGAACTGGTAGTTGGCGACGATGGAGCCAATGCGACCCTTGGAGTCGGTCAGGACACCGTCCTTGAGGGTGAGGTCCAGAGAACCTGTGCCCGTACAGGAGCTACGCTTCTGTTGAATTTGTTAGTATGAAATCTCACTTTCTCAATACACTGATGAGGCTCACATCGAGGCTTCGCTTGCCGAGCTCAACAACGGTGAGACCAAAGTTTCCGGTGTAGCTCGTAGAGCAGTCAGCGGGGGCGTTCTCAGAAGGCTTGAGAGCGGCCTGCGGCATGGCCACGGCCAAGGTAGCCATGGCGGCGGGGAGAATGGCGGAGAAGCGCATCTTGTTGACTAGAGATTTTTTTTAATTAGCAAAAGTTTTCTCGTTTTCTCCCTCAGGTCAAGGGTCGTGAGTTTTCATATATTGTGCCGATCCGACAGAGAGGCAGACAAGATCGTGGAGGACCAGCGAGATCGTGAAGCACAAACCACTTCACGAGTGACCGTACAGCTCAAGAAGGACAGGAGTTTCGACGGGAAGTCCGACTGGACTCGGGAAACAGACGGTGAAAATACCCGGGACAGCAAGCGCGGATAAAATCAAGGTTTGATGCCACAAGCCCGTGACGTCGCCCGCCGCTGATGAGTGTAGGGACGACGAGGGATGTGGCACGCTCCGAGATCGCCAAATCAGAGCCAATGACACCGCAAACTGCGCTCGAAGAGGGGGATTGGGGGTCCATCTCGCTGACAACAGAAGGATGGTAATAGAGATCAGCTTACCTGAGTCGAGGTTCTTGTGGTTTGGTGGAAGCGGTGAAGGTTGTTGTGGTAGGTAACTCGCTGGCAGAGTAATGTAGCTCAGATGAGGTGTTGGTGTGGTGGTGAGAAGAGTTTCCAACAACCAAAGTTGATTTACTTTTGCCCAAAGGTGAGGAGGTGGTGAAGGGTAGTCCAGCAAAAGCTCCTGACCCGCTTTGTCCAACAATGCCCTTCGTTCAAGAATCACACAAAAAGGCGGGTACTGCCTGTGTTGGTGCCTTGTGGAAGCACGGGAAGCGTGAGATCGGAAGAGGACCGAGGAAGGAAGAGGAGCTTTGTTTTCGAGTGGTACCTCTCGCCCAATGTTGTGTGAGGTGATCGTCGTCAGTTGTTGCCACGCGGGATGCGTATGAGTGAGTGTCGAAGGGTCGGTAGAAGAAATAAGGTGTTGAAATAGGTTCAGTGAAATAAACGTGGCAGGCTTCCTTGATGGAGGGCAACCCTATTGAGCGAGAGTATGAGCAGGGATGGAGAAGGTGAGCTGAAGAGAGGGAGACCGAGGAGAGGGGAGGGCTGGGGTCCGGTGGTTCATATACAAGAGAGGGAGGGTAGACTTGTGAGTAAGGCCTGGTGGCTAGGGTAGGAAGATAAGCTTCAGCCGTGGGTATTGCGCGTCTTTGACGTCCAGAATGTGGATTTGATGGAGCAAATACCTTAAGCTAAGGAACTTGCAGTAGTGTGTGTATACGTGGTGTAAGTAGCCATGTGTGTTTGTGAAGGCTGGTATTAGTTGTGATCTGATATGCAGAGGCATGCGGCTACTTGCAAACAGCACTTGGAACAAAGCTAATCTGCATGTACATTCCAGGCTGATTACTCTGTACATCAGACCAACAACAACATCACAGCCACCTCACCCACACAATTCACTACATAGCAGCAGTTGAATATTGATTTGCCAGTGCGGATGGGTGGGTGGATGACTGATGGTTGTTGATGTGAATATAGTGGCCCAGGGGTGGTTGGGGAGGTCGCCTCCGGTAGCAGGGCTGGGCTGGAGACACGCCTCGACCAGGACCAGGGTCAGTGCCACAAGCTCAACTGCACTGTCCCGATGCAAAGCCCGTGGATGATTTTGCTGGGCCTGGTGATGTCAGAGATAGAACACAGCTTTCCCTCGTCGAGTCATGGTGAGGGTGCTGTGGTTTTCCCCAAGCAGAGCGATTCGGACGAACCGGGCACTCAAAACAGAGGGGGCTGCTTGTTTTGCTATTTTTGCAACTACTCTATCCTGTACTCGGAGCAACCAAATATGTGATTCGACGAGGCAACGACGAGGGGCCTGGCCTGTAAGACGTCGTAAAGAGCAGAATAATTGATGATTGAGAAACCGAGCATAGAGTGCTGGATTGAATGCGACCACCGGCCTGTCTTGTGCTGAGACAGAAGGCTTGCGCAGCCAACCGCTTGGAGGAGATTTCCCTAGAAGCTGGAGGACCTGTCTCGAATGCAGTGTGGCTTCTGCTGATCAGGTACCACGGCCGAAATGGCCAATGATTGCTGGTGAGGAGCGAAACGCGTGGAATGTTGGACTTGTCGGGCTTGTTTAGTGAGATGCTTGGGCTTCAGGAGCAGACGGCAATTCTGCGTGGTTGTGCATCTGAGAATGGCATCGGTCGATTTTCAGCGGTGCTGGGCACGCGGCGGCGGGGACGGGGAGCAGCGAGGTTCTGCGGGAGCCCGGCACTGCACTGTGTTCCTGGCCTTGGCCTGTTCTTTAGGCTGTCTTGACTTGCCGTGCCGTGGTGCTGGATGTGGACCTCGACCTGCGGTGAGGGGTCGTCGGAAGAGGGGGTGAGCCGGGGTGTGCCCCGATCGATTACCGAGAGGGGGTTGGTGAGGCGGAGGTGATGTTGACGTGGAAGTCGGGATTGGTGGAAGACGTGGAAAGGTGGTGCGGCATCCAAGATCCAGTGAGCTCGCGAGACATGGTGATTTCTCCCCGTTGAGAACTTGAGCATGGAGAATCAGACATGATTGGCAGTTCCGAGGATGGAATGCGTCCCTGGCCTGGGAAAAGAAAAGGGGGCCATGCGTTCCTCAGGCGCAGATTGGTCGCGGACAGTTCGACAGATGCAAAGATGTCTTGATCCCTTGCCTTGGACTGGAGCCTCCTCGTCGTTAGTCGACGGGCAAGAGTCCAGAACAGTGTCACTCTGGTACACTTTTTTCTCCGTTTCTTTTTGGCGCTTGTTTGGTGCAGAACACCAAGAAAGAGTTGGTGTCGTCAAGAGGGAAAAGATTTTCCAGTATGTTCGTTGTCAGGGTAAACGTGCGGTGCTGCCAGCCCAATCCCAACCTGCCAGAGCGTATCTTGGAGCTGTGTATCCTATCCGTACGTGTGTGCGTGTGTACTTCGGACGGATGAAGAAGACCGAGTCGTCGTGGTCATCTCCATGCTTCCAAGTCGAGATTGGTGCGCCGTAGTACTCTGTCTCTCATCCATACCAGCCACAGCCCTGATCCAGATCCCTTCATCTCGACAGCGTGCGACCTCGTCCGAGGTTCTTCTCCGGCGGCATAAATTTGCCAAAAACAGGAATCCTGAGTTCGACTCTGGGGAATCCAATGTCATTTTGGTCAATCCCCCGTTGTTGCGTTTCAGCCGACCCGGTCGCCATGATATCATGGTACGAACATCGGTGAATATCATCATCTGTTAAGACCTGCAGCCGTCCTATCACGGCGTCGTCACCGGGCCGGAGTGGGTGGACCGGAGGCCTTGGATGTCGGCTCGAGGGGGTTTGAGGTTTTTCCTGGCCTTTCCGTCCATCCTCCACTAGTTGAAAACGACCGAAAAAGGAAGCCCCCCAGCGACCATCCCACCCATCTTTCGAGAATCTTTTCCCTTGTGGCGTCTTGAAGGCCCACGGCACCCGCAGCCAAGCGCCGCTCTACAGGGGATGGCGGGCCCTGTCGCATGCGCTGTACCCGTCAAGCAGCTCGCTAAGCACGCCAAGGCTAGGCGCCCTGCATTAGCACCGCCCGCCAGTGTCAGAGCCTGCGTCGATCCGCCCACCCCGAAGTCAGTGACACCTGTTGACTGGTGTTGACTGGTTTGAGGCCGTGCGGCCCATTCTAGGCCATCAAGTGGGTGAGGATAGTACGAGAGGCCAGTCAGTTGTTGGTGTGCCCTGAAGGGTGGTGTAGAGAGAGAGAGAGAGAGAAAGAGAGAGAGAGAGAGGAGAGAGGTGCTCGAAGCCGGCGCGAGTTCTTTTGTTCGGTCCGGGATTCTCAGGCCAGCAACATTCCTCCCTGCCCCTCCCTCCAACGGTGCCATTCGATGCTCCAAGGCCGGAAACCGCCTCCGGAATGACGGATTTCAGCGCTATTCGTCTTTGGTCTAGCATGTGCTCTAGCTTCTGGTAGCTATCGGAGCTCGCGGTTGGGGCGACGGGGACGGGAGCTGCCCGCTAGAGACAAGGCCACACAGTCTTAGGGTTGGGCATGCAGGGGACAGGGGAAAAGCTTGCGAAGCCTCTGGACCTGCTCGGGGCCGCGGGCTCGATTGTTGTTTGACCTGGCTCGAGAGACACCGGGACGGAGAAATCTGAAGCAAGGGAGAGTGTTGGAACTGTGAAGAGATTTGATGGTAGAATGAGGATGTACAAAACCATTGCCACTGTTCAATTGCAATGATTCAGGTCAATGTCCTTTTCCACGAACACAATGTCAAGAGGGATGCCGACTCAGCTGAAGCATGCTGGCACCCGTATCCCTCACCCATCGATATTGGTACGGCAATATTTCAAATCCGGCTGGGGCAGTAGGTATGGCAGCTGTCGCCGCCGCCCGTCGGTGGCTCACGGTACCGAATCCTGGCTTGCGTTGCCTTGGCTGGCCGCCTTGTGTATCGTAGAGGCAACAGGTAGATTGTGCCGGGGAGATGATAGCATCACTTGCTGCCGATGTGCCGGGATGAATAGAGTAAGTTACGTGCGACGGCCGTCTTGTTTTCGCTTGCCTGCTGCTAGCCGCGCTAGGCTAGATGCGCGTCTCCACGTGTAGCACTGGCTTGGCTGCGAACGTTGATGTCGGCGTCCGATCCGGACTTTGAGTTTCTTTGTGCTGTTGGGTGGCTTCAAGTCTACCTTAGCAAGTCGACGGACAGCGACAGACGTCGAAAGCCGTCTCTCGACCGGGCGTGCCAGGTTGGTGAGGTTCAGTTGTTGCTGGGCTGCCCCTCGTTCGCAGGTGGTGCGTTTTTTTTCTACTGCCATCCACTCCGTTGCCAGGGGCCCTAGTGTAAAGTGTTGAGCTGACTGCCAGGTGACGTTTGCTGAGCTGATGAACATCGGATTGTTGGTGGAATCAAGTTTGTCTGCAGTCAGGAGTGAATTGGGACGAATCCAATATGCGCATGCACGCGGCTGAATTTGACTTCTCAGTCCGATTACTCCTAGAGTCCTTCCAGCCCGGGGCATCGTCAATGGGAAGGAAGGCATGCCCGAGTGTCCAGCACTGCACCTGCCGCCCTCTGCGGAGGATAAGAATTCCCCGGTGATATGCCGGGGGCGGATAGCTGATAGGCCCACTGCGGCACTGCGGCTCCCAATCGGCGGCCTTGGCCCACCAGAGTGGATGGCTTGGCACAGCAACCTCCGACTTCACCTCAACTTCGCCAACCTCGAGTCCTCAACTGTGCGAAGCATCTGACCAAGTGTACCGAACAAAGTCTGCGATTCAATCAGTTGGTTTGTATTAATACAACGGGTACGTTACAGATAGAGTGAAACATGATGGTAAACCCGTTGCCCCGTAAACAAACCACGAGTAAACAACCAACTTTGGACGCTGACTGAGGTTCCTTAAAGTGAATATTCTTGCGACGAGAGCTAGCGATTTTCACACAAAAGCCTTCTATAATTGTTTGGAAGTATAAGGGTTTATGTCTCTCGAGATCTTCCCAAAGTCGTATTTCTCCTGCCGGGTTGGAAATTCCTAGAAGGGTATCACTATTTTCGCAAGTAGGTCAGCGTGGTTAGAAACCTCGTGGTGGCCACGCTAGAACATTTCCTGATTCTTCTGTTTTTAACAAATGACCATCTATCACACCATACTAGAGTTTCGTCGAATTCACTCGTAACATTAGGACGGCTGATGTCATAAATCGATATATAAGAGGGGGTTGAAGAAGGAGTGGCAAATGGACAACTTGAGAAGCATCCCGACAAGTTGGCTGGATTAATCAGACCGTACGGACAAGGTTTTGATAAATATATCCTCACTTCAATGCTGCCCGTAAGTTTGAGGCGGCAAGGCAGGCTGTTCGCATGAGGGCTGCTTGATTGGGATTGAGGGCGGGCCGATACATCGCAGGGTGCTTGGGATGGCAGGAAGAAGACCGCCCGATAGAGCTATAGGGGACGGAGCGCGACAATTAATCAACAACAAATACCGGGCCATATGGCTGAGAGGTCTTGAGGTCGTGAAGTGCTGGCTGGGACAGTGATGCTCCTGTTCCTTCCAGGATTCCGGCTTTCAAGCCCCGGTCGGTCCATCTTTTTTTTTTCTTTTTTCCCAACTTTCCTTTTTGTTTCCCCTCACTTGCCAAACTTCCTTTCTCTTACCTTCCCACTTTTGAAGTAGATTGTATTTCTTCGACTGAAGGAACAATTCAGCGCAATGCAGGGCCAGGAAAACAGTTTCGTCGCTACAATGCGCCAGGTAACCGGTATTCCTCACGTGACCGGCCGTCTGCTTGGTCTTCGGCGTCGATGGTAAGAGTCATTCCAGATATCCATGTGGTCTTTTGAAGACAGTTTTGCGTTACTCAACACCACCGCATACTCTGCTATGCTTACAGGATGGAGGCCTTACCTTGACTTGCAAGAGTACCCTTTCACAATGTAAGGTCCTTAACTCATTCTAAAGCCTCTCAGAGGTCCTCTGGCTTGCAACAGAGAAAGACCGTATCAGATCGTGTAGCCTTGGCTTTTGAGAATATCATTCTACGTTGATGTTGAGTATGAGATAAGATTTGACGGTAACTGCCCGAGACACGATCACCGAAGAGAACCACGAAGGCCTCGTTGTCACGTTTGAAGCTGGAGGTGACCTTATTCGAGGACTTTTCTTGTGGTATTTAGAAAGACTAGAGGGTGACGTCTCACAACCCACTACCCGTCCCCAACTATCCGTCGTCCGTTGTCCACAGTCCGTCATCCGTTCTTCATTATCATCTGGTAGGCGCTACTATCCCGTCGTGTGCTATCCCATTGCGCTCGTCACCTTGCGCTCATCCCTTTATGGGACCAAGAGCTATTAGGAGAAGCCATCTCTCCCGGCTCCGAATGTTCAGCTCGCATGAGACGTGGCTTCCAATAGTACTCAGGGCCGCGAGGCCGAGAAGGTCGGATTTGAGCCGGAAAAGGACTGTCAGATCACAAAACTGTCAGCTCCAAGCTACCGGATACAAGGGGTAAGGGATAAAAGGAGGGATCAAATCAACTTCGTACCTCAAATCTGCACCTCCTCGAAGCCCCACTGGTTCCATTTCTCATCGTCAACGGCCAACGGGTCTTGACCGTGACCGCCGGCGAGAATGAGCAGACGAATCCACTCACTCGCCAGCTGAACACTGTCAGCGCCGTTGGCAGGCATCTCCAACTTGCCGCCATACCATCCACGGATCAAGCGTCTTCCGGCACCCTGGACTGCCGCCTCGGTATTGTCGCGAATAAACTGGCGGAAGCCAAAGAAGCTGGAGAGGTTTGCCTTCACCTGTGGGTTGTTCTTGAGGTGAGCATATCGGGAGATGGGGTCGAAGATGATGAGCTCCAGGCCGTCGGCGTACTTGTGAAGTACAATAGCGAAGCCGAGACGAGGGCAGAGCGAGGACTAGACGCCCTGCTGGGTCTCGGTGCCAGAGACCTCGTCGACAGAAGGGATTGCGCCCCAAGGACGGCCGAACCAGGGGGTCGCGAGGACAATGGACAGGACCTTTCCAGACTGGAAGGCTTTGATGGCTTGCGTCATTGCGTTTTCGACCGTGAAGCAGTATAGAGACTGGCCACCGGAAGGGATCGACCACTGGCGACGCTCCATGGGGCTGCGGAAGTTCGAGACGGGGGCGAGAATCAAGTTCCACTTGCTGTCGGGCTGGTAGTTGATAAGAGCGAGCGAACAGAGAAAGGCGCGGGTGTCGAGGGGGAGGGTGGCCTTGCTGGGAATCATGGGCATGTTGCCAGGGGTCTGGGGCGTCTTGCCGAAGAGGACGCTTCGAAGCTCCGGCGTGGCGATCAGGGCGAGTTCGTGCGGGTCGAAGTGAGTAGGAGGCCAGAGCTTGTTGTCCGCGGGGCCGGCGACGCTGGTGCTGTGAAACTGAGCCGTGAGGGCACCCATCTCGTTGGGACGGGCCGAGAGGGACATAGCCTTAATGGGAGGAAGACCCGCGAATAGGTCCTTGACGTAAATCCAAGTGTCAACGGCCATGTTAAGATCGGTCTTGGGCCAGTCACCCGAGTCGCCGCGACGGGCGCGGACGAAGACTTCGTCGATATCCTTGAGTGCTTCGCCACTGAGTTCGCCTCTGGTCTTGAGCTCAGCCGCGACGGTTGTGTAGAACGCAGAATGGCCACGAAGGTTTCCGTAGAGGTCAGCTCTATCGACGAGAGTCTGGAAGACGCGCAGAAGGCAAGCTTCAGCCTCTCTGGTCATGTCGATCATGTCGGTGACATTGCTGTTGGCCCAGGCCCACTCGCTTCCGAAGAATGCTGCCAAGACGAGGTGGACGGTCTCTCTGTCGGGAAACAGCGGGCCATGGGGGAATTCGAAGCCCCTCTGCATGAGGATTTTCTTGGGACCTTTTTCGTTGCCCATGATTGCGCGACTGGATGTTGCTTTTGCTGAGCTTGGTATGTTGTCGACGTCAGGGACTTCGAGATGAGAGAATTGGTCGACTCTGTGGATAGGATGAGTGAGAAGGTAAGGCAAAAAATATATCGAGGAAAGAAAGTCGATGGATTGTTGAAGAGGAGTGGTTCAGGTAGCAGGTAGGTAAGGTGATGAGTGAGTTGCCGGGTGAGGACTAGGGCAAGGTAAGCGGAGGGGTAGGGACGTCAAAAGGTGAGGTGAATTTGCCGTTACCTGGGGTGAGGTGAGTTGATCAGTCGGAGGAAGGAGCAAGGGGATCGAGGATTATCGTAGCTTCCGCACAAGGCCGTCCCCGTCTCGACGTTTATTCCTATGGGCCCGACATCCATCTAAGAGGACCTTATACATGCCTTAAGGTCTGTAAGGTAGGGCACCGTAGAGTAGAAAGGAGCACCCAGAGTCTCAGCATCTCAATGTTTTGAAAAAGGCAAGTTTCCAGCCTGCAATTTCCCTCTGTTCACTCTATCTAACAAATTGGATAACATAGGACTGATCATCCGTAGCATGTTATGAGGTGATCCAGACTTTACCTTCACAGAACCGGGGCATATATAAACAGAATCGAGGCAAGGCAAGTGAAACTGAGATGCTCGTCACCTTATTTTGACCACAAGAAAAGTAGATATGTAAAAAAAAAAGAAAAAAAGAATGGACCGACCGAGGTTTGAAGGCCGGAATCCTGGAAGGAACAGGAGCATCACTGTCCCAGCCAGCACTTCACGACCCCTCGGCCATGTGGCCCGGGACTTGTTGTTGAAGACTGAGCTTGATTTACTCCTCATAAGGGTCGTAGGCGGTGAAAGTGGAAGCTCTACCTCAGGCACATCCCAGGTGGCTAGGATGGATGGCTAAGGTGGATAGTGAATATGCTTCAGGTAGATAGTAAAAATCTAAAGCATCATAAACAACTGAAATTTTTTTAAAAAAAAAGAAAAGAAAAATAATGGACCACCCGAGATTTGAAGGCCAGAGTCCTGGAAGGAACAGGAGCATCACTGTCCCAGCCAGCACTTCATGACCCCTCGGCTATGTAGCCCGGTGCTTGTTGTTGAGGATTGAGCATGATTCACTCCTCATAAGGGGTGCGGGCGGTGGACGGCGTAGCTCTACCTGAGGCATCGCAAGTGGGAGTGCGCCGGGAGTGCGCCGTGAGGCATCGTAGGAACCCGGGTGAGTGAATCACTCGTTCACCAGGTGACCAGTCAAGCCATTGGATCCAACAGGGTACCCGTCGTTGTGCTGGCACGTTCTCCAGACTCATCACACGTATACAGGGGATAAAGTGGCAGATTGAAATGCTCTGAGTTGCTGAATTCGACTTGTGCTTTTTGTGACCAAAGACGCATGCATCTATGAAGAGTGATGGAGCTCTATCTGACCCCAATGCAAATCCTTTCTTCATTACGTCGTCCGTTATCCCCACCACATCCAACGTATCCCAAACCTGTCGATTTACATAATGACCTCGTTTGAAACGTCCTAGATGATTGTCAGTAACATGAAAGACTGTCGGTAGTTGGGGTAGACTTACTCTCTTCAGCTCCTTGAAGGGCAGGCACACGCAGTTCTGTACGCGGACCTCATCGCCGACACCGCAGTCCTTACCCAGGATGGTAATGCTCTGGACCTTGACACCGTTCTTGATGATGCTCGTCGTGTGGCTACCGACAGGGGTAGGGGTACCCTCAACACGGGCCCAAGCACCGACGCGGCTGCCCCAGCCGATGATAGAGTACAGAACGCACGAGTCGTGCTTGATCTCGGAGTCCTCGAGGACGACGGACTCCTTGATGCGGGCACCCGGGCCAACGTGGACGCGGGGTCCAATGGAGACGTTGGGGCCCAGCTTGGCGGTGGGGTCGACGGTGGCAGTAGGATGGATGAAGACCGGAGGGATGATGTTGGCGCTGGGCTGGGCGAGCTCCTTGGAGCCGTTCTGCCAGGCCTTCTGCAGGTACAGGGCGTTGGCAGGGACAGCTGAGCCAGCCGTCTTGATCTGGCGCCAGAAGTCCTTGGTCTCATACACGAAGAAGTGCTTGGTGTCGGCGAGGTCACCGAGGATATCCTGCTCGAGGCGAATGACCTCGTTCTTGCGCTCCTCATCATCGTCGGTGATAATGAAGCTGTTCTCGAGGTTCTCGGAGCTCGGGTAAGAGACGAGGCGCGAGGGACGATCGGTGCGGCGCTTGATGGCGGTCTTGATGGAGGGGAAGATGGCATCGGTAGAGAAGAGGTATACACCGCAGTTGATCAGGTTGCTGATTTGCGACTCGGGCTTCTCGACGTAGTGAAGGACACGGCGGGTGTGGGCGTCGCTGACAATGCAACCGAAGTTGGTGGCGGCTTCATTAGAGACGCGCGTACCCAGAATGACGGCCTCGGCGTTCTTGTCGTGGAAGAGCTGGAGCATCTCGGGGAGAGGGAAGGAGCAGCAGACGTCGGCGTTCAGGACGAAGAGGCGCTCAGGGTGGCCCTTGAGAATCGCATCGCGGAAGTGGTAGAGACCACCTGCAGTGCCGAGGGCCTCATACTCGCGGAGGTACTTGATGGAGAGGTTGGGAAATTCGTGGGAGGCGTCCTTGATAAAGTCGCGGAAGACGGACTCGTCGTAGTAGCCGATAATGAGGACCTCGGTGATCTCCTTGCCAGGGACTCGCTCGATGGCAGCCAGGTTGTGCCAGATGATGGGGTGTCCAGCGACTTCGAAGAGGGGCTTGGGGACGTCGAGAGAAAGAGGACGGAATCGAGTTCCTCTGGAGGGGCCTCCGACCTGAAGTTTTGAAGGTTCTGGTTAGCTTGCGACTGTTTGCAGAGGACAATGAGCTTTGACGAGCTTTGACGAGCTTTGTGAGGGAGGGGGGAATCAAGGCGGGGTTTTGAGATTTTGGAGATGCACGCGCCGCACAATAAAGTGACGCGCAAAACACCATAAAGCAGATGGTCTTACCAGAATGACGGCCTTGGTGGCACCCTCTCTGGGTGCCTTTCCACGGTAGGGGACTTGCAGCGACATTGTTTGAGTGGGATGGGTATCTCTGGTTGTGGTGGTGAGAAAGGGAAGGGAAGGAAGGCTTAGATAGAGGTCGAGATACCCGATATGGAGTCGAGTAGCTGAGGTGGGAATTGAAGACGCTATTTGCAACGTCACCGCTTCGTGAGTTTTAGAAGGGGGTCCCCCTGAGAAAGTGTTCACCCAACCTTGTGAGGTCCCAAGAATAAATCCAGAGCAGGCAATGCATGTGTTGGCAGGGGTCTAACGAGGCAGGAGGGTCACCAGGTGGCTCGTGTCGTTTCTAGATGTGGCTGCGGGGGCTTTCTGGTGTTATCGTGAGACTTTGTGAGGCACCTGTTTTACCTGTCAAGAGGTGTACCTGTTTACTGCGGAGGACCCTTTGCGGGGTGGAATGGATTCCCTTGCGTGGCAGGAAGGAGCCTCCCGCCAGGTGGTCTCCAAGCTACCGATAAGCAATAGTCCGTACCTCCTAGGTTCCATCCACTATTAAGGTACCTTATTGCTGCGTACCTTAGGTAGACAGTGGCCCAGGACCACATGCGACAAACTCAACGTCTCATTCGTGTCCCTTTGAGAAGCCAAACATTTCTTTTTCGGAGCAATTCCTTTTTGTCTACCATTCAAGCCAGATTTATGGAAGCGCTCCTAATGGACATCTTGTGGAAGATAAGGCAGGCTATCTGCTTGGAGTTTGAAGAGACGGGGAGCTGAAAGGCTGCTGTAGATGATTCATCTGCAACTCTCAGATACCATGGCATGGTAAGACAGCATCGGCGACCGATTGGGGTGGAATCTGAAATCATGTAAGAGGTTGCAGGTACCTTGCAGGAAGCTTCTCCAATTGGCATCGATGAAATCAATTTACGCGTCGGTACCTGAGCGTGTCGAAGACGTGTAAAGCAGGCTGCACACGCGACAATGTGGTGCCTGGAAGGTGAGTAGTGACTTGGTTGACCAGGTGAAGATGCACTCATCTTGGGCAAAATCTAGCAGGCAGCTGTGCATCTCAGACAGCTTGAGAAAGTACCAAGTCGCGTCTCTGATACCTTCGCAGGGGATCGCCGGAGCCAAGCTCCACTGCCAGCCATTCTCTTCGAATCTTGCGCCCCTGAGGTCCCTGACATCCCTGCCTGCTGGGAGACTGACGATGCACCTCGTTCGCTCCAGTTCCCAATGATCCATGATAGTAGCTACCTCACCTCACAAGCGACATGGTGAGATATCACCAGCATTACGGCGATGGAAATATCGGAAAATGTGTCAAAGTTTTTTCCAAGTAATTAAAATAACATACTGATACTTTTCATGATTATTATCGCCTTTTGTTGCTCCCAAACCCAACAGTGGGCTGCACCATCTCATGTCCCTCCTAACACTAACAACCACTTTAATGAGAGCTCCAGGAGAGCGGGACTTGTGGTTGCTCAGGTCACCCAAACGAGGAAAGAGCTCTTAAAGCTTTGAAGCGCCCCAGAGCTCCTTCCCTTCGCCTGCCTGATATCCAGCTTCAGCTTCAATACCGGGCTCACTTGACCTTTTGTTTTACCTCTCACCTCTGTCACCTCTTTCTCACACACTTCTTTCACTTGTCCCCCATCTTTTTTGCTGCCTAGAGGTGGGTTGGGTCGTTAATTGACCCTCTGCCACTCTTTGAGGTACCTAACACACTCACCTCGGAAATATTGGCTTTCAACCTCATCGACCCTCTACTTTACCCTCAAAATCTTTCCTCCTAACTCACTCAAAATGACGAAGGCAAGAGCGTCGAGAGGTCATACCGTCAAGCCAGAGCCCGGCAATCATCAGAACAATACTTCTCCCACACCTTCTCTCACCAACACCTACAACGGCTCCCCAGAGCACAACAGAAATCAAGCCCGCTCTCATTACGCTGGGCCTACTGATGTCAATCAATCATTCTTGAGATCAGACGCCCGTGAGTAATTTCTTCTCTTCTACTTACCAAGCTTCTCAAGTTCGACATCTAACCATCAAACAGCCACGCCTTCCATAACTTCTGGCCTGTTGCCCACTCCTCACGGTGCTTACACTGCCCCTCACACTGCCCGGACTGCGCTCACGAACCCAACCTTCGATGAGAGTGAGCCCGTTCTGCTCCAGGTTAGAAACCGCGACATGGATCCGCCCATCATGCCCATGCAGAACGATTCCTTCCTCGATGGCTCCTTCCGGGATATTGGCGCAAAGGTGAAGATTTTCAACGATACTCTCGGTGAACTACAGCAGCTTGGCGTCTCCCACGATGTCGCCCTTCCTCAGCTCGTTCTCGTTGGAGACCAGTCTGCCGGGAAATCGAGCCTGATGTCTGGTCTTGCCGGTCTCAACCTCCCTCGCAGCGAGGGCGTCTGTACTCGTTGCCCCGTCCACATTCGTGTCTCTCGAAGTGGCCCTCGCGACCGTGGCGGTCCTCAGTGGTCTTGCCGTGTCTCTCTTCAGCAGGACTACGCCTTCCGGCCTCCGAATCATTACCTCACAAAGGCCGACGTCACTCCGGAGAACCCGTTCCCGCCTTGGGTGAAGCAAGCGCGAGTGGTGAAGGAGTTTATGACTATTTACGACCAGTCGGACATCGATACTGTCCTGAAATGGGCTCAGATCGCCATTCTCAACCATGATCAGAACCACGAGTTGTACGTTCCCGGTACAGGCGCCATCACCAAGCAGTGCTTGCTGGACGACGAGGCAGAGAGAACGCTCGCCAAGTTCAGCCCCAACACCGTCGCCCTGGAGATCAAGGGCCCGGACCTGCCTGATCTGTCTTTCTACGACATGCCTGGCATCTTCCGCAATGCGGCACGCGAGGAAGATGAGTATCTTGTGTCAGTGGTCGAGAACCTCGCACGCAAGTACATTTCCCATTCTGAGGCCCTCATCATCTGGGCTGTGCCAATGAATGTCGACCCTGAGACGTCCTCGACGCTTTCCATCATCCGTGTCCTTCATGCTCAGCAAAGGACTATCGGAGTGATGACCAAGGCCGATCTTCTTCCTGAAGGCAACAATAGTCAATGGCTGTCGATGTTGCGCGGTGAGGCACACAAGATTGGTCACGAGTTCTTCATTACCTCTAGGCCGTCGAACCAGAAGCTCGACGAGCAACAGAGATGGGAGGAGGGATTCTTTCACCAAGATGCAAGTGAACGCTGGCCAGAGGAGTTCCATCCATTCCGCGAGCGATGTGGCGTGGAGAAACTCAAGATTGCTCTCTCCGAGAAGTTGGGCAAGGAATTCGCCAAGAAGTAAGTGTTCTACCCCAGTTGTCTTTCCCTTAGATTTCGACGAGATACTGACGTTTTCAGTCTCCCTTCTATAAAGCACAAGGTTCAGACGAGGCTCAGTGAGATCGAAGCTGAGCTTAGCACCCTTCCCGAGTTGCCCAACAATGTCGAGTTGGAGGTCCGCAAGAGCTTGATGGCGTTCTCCTCCACTGTCAAGGAAACTCTTCGCGGTAGAAAGTTTTCCTCTAACTACGGGTCACTTTCGGACAGCTTCCGGGACTGCATTCTTCAGATGAAGCCCAAGTTCATTTTGAAGGATAAGTCGGACATTCCTGTCCTTGAAATCTCCGATGACGAGGATGACAACGCACCAAATGTCACCCCTTCGAACAGAAAGCGTGGCGGCTACGGCCAACATCAGTCAGCTGCCAAACGACCCCGACCAACCCCCAACGGCGGTGGCTCCTTCTCGGCTGCCATCAAGACAGAGGACAGCGGTCCGGCGCCATCGACACCCTCTCGCCGAAGACCACCCCAGCCAACGCCTCTGGCCCCGCCTTTCCAACGATACGCTAACTATGGCGCTGGATTTCGGACACTGGCGCAGATCCGTGAAGACATCAAGGCCAAGACCAAGGCAGGCATGCCTAGTATTGTGCCTGACGAAGTCTATGAAGACCTGTGCAAGCAAGCCGTCAAGGCTTGGAACCAGCCCATGGAAACCTTCCTGCAAGAGACTATGAATTGTCTTCAACGAATCGTCGACTACGCCCTTGGCCAGGCTTTTGGCTCCCTAATGAAGCGATTGATCTTCAAGAAGTCTACCAACCTCATGAATGAATTCTTGAGGGAGCATCGGAGCGAGGCCATGTCTTTTATTAAGGACATCTACGACATGGAGACGTTCCAGCTCTTCACGGTCAATCAGAAGGCCTTTGAAGACTATCAACGCTCTGAAAGCCGGGTGCTCACGCGTTACCGCCACGTTATGCGCTGGCAGGCATTCTCGGGAGATTCCTACGAGTTCCATGATTGGGACCAAATGACACCTGAGCAGCGCACGAACGAGGAGCGGAAGCATCACCAGGAGCTTGGGAAGATGGGCCCAGACACCTTTGATAAGGAGCTAAGGGTGGCTGCCTACATCCGAGGCTACTATATGCTGTCCGCTCTCCGCTTCGCCGACACGGTCTGCCTGTCGGTCACGTCCCGCATGATGCCGAAGATTGTCCAGGATCTCGACTTCTTCCTCGAGAACAACCTTGGTCTCATCGGTGGTCGTGACGAGACTGTGTTTGCACGTCTGATGGAGGAGGATGAAGCGACCGCTCGCAAGAGAGAACAGTTGAAGAACGAGCTGGAGAAGTTCAACAAGGCGCTCGACTCGATTACCACCAACGAGTTGGAGGGCGCTTTCGGGTCGTCTTCGCAGGGAAGAGACGCGCTTGAGGCTTATGGCGAGTCTTTTGCTGAGACTATGGATGTTGATGGAGGATGTTGAGCTAACAAGCATACAATGCCGCGGTGATCGACACGATTGCTGGCCCACAGATTTGCTGAAAGTTTGAGCCGCAAGTCGACTCTGGCGGCAAGGGATTCGTTGGCCGTGTTTGGCAAAGGGTGAAGCCCGGATGTAAAAATGTTCGATTATCGCAGTGGGGTCCGATCTTGTGTATCAGAGAGATCGTGTTGCTGATTGCCACAGCTAGGAGTGGCCATTTGGCGTGAGGAAATGGAGTTTCGGATACCTAAGGAGGGTCACAGGATCGTTTATTTGCCAGTCGGAAGGCACATTCGCAGAAAATACCAGTATTGCACGTAGTTAGCTAGCTCAGAGAATAGACACGAAGATGTGTCATAACCTTGGACCGCACATGATGGGCGAGGAGTCGAGACAATGGCTTGCCAATGGATGGTCCATTCCGTACGGATGACTCTGATATGTTTTGCTGACAGGGCTATACCAAGCCACCAGAATAACGGTCCATGGAAGTCTAAAAGAAGGAGAGCCAAGCCGGGATGGGAAGAACGCGCCATGATGACGATCGGGCAACAGGGAAGAGTTACCCGAGGAAGTAGAGGTAAGGCATACTACGGATGGTAAGGCGAGAACTCCATGCCATGTCTTGGCCAGAGCAAAAAGGCCCGAGATGGAGCAGGATGGACTCTGTTCAATTGGCATCCAACGCCGCCAAATGCAAATCTTCTCTTCTTCTCCAACCAACCTTCACTTATCATCTACATCCCACCACACACCCATGGCCACGACCATCCTCCCGCTGCGTTGGTTCTGTCCGCGCCCTCACCGTCGCAGTGCCCCTTTCCTCGTGCTGACAATTTCTGGGGTAAACTCCATGCATCGACTTTAACCGGCGTTGTTTACCTCCCGTGGACCTGGAACCAACTAAAGAGGCGTCGTCTTTCGCTTCGCCTAGGACTTCGGCCAACCGCTTCACCACCCTCGCTGTCGGCTAAATTGGCCAGGACCTAACCAGAATGTACAGACTTGGACCGGACTTTCAACACGCAGCCGCTTCTACCACCCACTCCATCTTGTGAAGAGGGTGCGGCAAGGCAAGACAAGTCAGAAGAATCCCATTTCAGTAGTGCAGCAATAGAAGTCGCCGGCTGCCGGGATGCCCAGCCAAAACAACCGCGCATCAGATTCACAGACACGCGCTAGACTGCTCCAGTCCAGCGGCATACTCCCAGCAACCGTTCAGCCTAGTGCTGTGGACCTGAGCCTGGGGTCCGGGGAGAGTGTCAGTCACAGTGGGCTTCCCCGGATTTGGAAGCATCGTGCCATGCTTCCGGCTGCCATTGTTGGTGGGTCATGAGACATTGTCAAGCTCGGATGCCACAACTTGGGACTGACATTCATTCAATGACAGGATGACCTCTCGATACGGATCTACAAGTTTCCATGGAGCCGGCGGACGAGGCCCGGGCCAACGCTTTTTGAATATGTCGAGCAATTACCAACACGTACCTCGCGAAGCCAAGTCAGCAAGCTGCGTAGATCCCGTAACAAAGGTCGTGATCAACTGTAGATTGTTGCCAACTCGATCGTGTCAAGCATTCGGTGTGCCCTAAGCAGCCTCGAGCCAGCAGCGACGATCGGAAACTGAGTCAACTTTCTATCAACCCGGGCAAACAGACAACAGATCCTCATGTATATACACCGCCCACCCTATCGACGAATAGAGGCCAAGTGGTGCCGATTACTTGGTCCTGCGGACAGCCCTTACCTGCCCAAAAAGGGAGCGCGTCCAAGATGTCGGCGGTAAGTGGTCTGTCCGGGATGACTTCTATCTTTTTTCTCAGATCAGTTGACAACTTGACGGCCCTTCCGGTCGCCCAACCCCGACTGCTTGGGTCCAATTTTGGCATAGGGACGAAAGTAACGAGGCTTTGCAACATGACCTTGTGCTCTCCAACGTCCTAGGAGCATCAGAGACCTAGACGAGCTAGTCCCAATGGGTATCAAGTTAGGTTCCTGTCAGATACCGGCCCTGCCTTCCGAGGGGGCGCTTCTCTCAACCACTCAAGCTTCCGGCGGCGTTCCAGCATTTCTCCATAGGAATGCGGATTGCATGATCACGCGAGAATAGACGGCGCCGGCGCACCGCTCTCTGCCTTGGCCCTTTCAACCTACTCGATTATCGCGAATGAATTATACGGAAACAGTTCACGCATAAGGGGATAGCTACCAAGGATTCACGAGATGATTCTTGGGCGACAAACCCTTACTGCAGTCGAGGAAGGACTTTACCGTTCATCAAGTGTACATCCATTAGCTCCAACTCCGGAACTTAACTGGTATGCGTCCATGTCTCTTGAGCACGTACCGAGTCGAGCCAGACTCCGAGGGAATTGAGTCTGTCGGCACTTTCCTCGCTCGCTCTTGATGAGAATTCTGGCAGTCCTCTACGCAAAGGAACCGGCCTGAGTCTCATGAGATGACGCTGGGATCTACAAAGTGACTTGGAACTCGAGATATCAAGATCAGGAGACCTAGGTTCTTCAGGGTCTCGGATAGATCACCGCAAGAGCCGATTATGCAATATCCAACTATCAATCTGGAGCCCTTCAAATGTCGAGCATGCACATACCTATTCTAGGCCGCAACACAATCTCATCAGCCCAAACGTCAATCGCTGAAATGCCAACACACGGCATCCGATTCTTCGAAATAGACCATTCAACAGCAATTTTGTGGAGAACCAGCCGCCACAAAACCGTTCGATATTGACCTGCGCCGATTGAACATCTCCGTCGAGCGAGGGCTGTCACCTAATTCGCTTCGCCAAAGGCATTCTGTGCCTCGAACCCGCATGATGAGTTTTAGGCGAGTCCAATTGACGTCTTTCGCCCACCACCATCAGTTCCAACTGCTCATAACCTGTTGATAGTTATTATGAAGATGTCGGCCAATGACGGGGACATGGCTAATTGCATCTGCCTTTTGCCGGCCATTCATCCAGACGGCCCTTCTTGTGAAGCCACATGTGCCGCACCCCAGTCCAGCTTCACACCTGAACCGCATCGAGCCCCGGATGAGCAGGGCTCTTCAATCAATTTCTGGTACGCTAGTTCCTCGCACCTCGAGCATGACTTTCTTTGGTCCAAGTGGTTCGAATTTCCTCTGGTGACAGGAGCTGACTCACGCCAGGCATAAGCCAACCTAATGGAAGCATCAAAGTCCATGGCCATTGTTGCCACCAAACCGGCGTCAGGTAATATACTTGAATATACAGTACATCGAGCGCCAGACTACGTAGTTCTAAGCATCATAGACTACGGAAGATCCACACAGAAGAGCTTTCTACGGGCCCCAGAATCCAAAATCCAAAGAACCTCCAACCGCTTGATAGAAGCTCTCGCTAGCCAGCTGGCGTGCTTCATTGTCGCGGTGACATTACCAGTTTGTTGGGATCCAGCTAGTAATTTTTACTTGGTTGGACATTCTAAACCAATTCCAACTGCAGACAATGTGTAGCCGTAACGGTGGGCTATGGGGACTAGCCTCGAGGGATGAACCGGCGGACCGGAGATGCCTGGTACAAGCCGAGGCTTACTGCACTCATTCTCGCGAGAGTACGATCTAGGGGTCATAATACCAACAGGTCACGGAATACAACTCCAGAACGTTTCTGGCAAACGGTACAAGCACCAACATTGCTTTTGTTACTTTTCTTTTCAGAACAACCCATGGCCCATGGGGAAGCCTCTCCATACCCCTGCACGTCGAGTCGGAGTATCACGTAAACGGCACGGTGATGAGTCTTTTGGAAAGACCATTTTGAAAGTCAGAAACGATTGGCTAGCTCGCGTGGCACATGAATGGTGTGTCGAATATCTATCCCCCAATGCAACCAGGCCCGGGCCACGAATCACGAAGCAGCAGACCCTGGAATCCATGTCGATGCTTGCACCGGTACCAGGTGGTATGTTTCTGTGCCGCACAAAACCATCCCACTGAGGCCTGTCTGGGTCTATGTCGAGCAACCTGAGAGCTGCTTGAGCTTTCCCGAGAGGCCAGGCAGAGATGCGCGACCACGCCCGTTCACATAGTCGAGACTCGAGACGTGGAATCGGTCAAACTCCATGTCTTTTGGAGAGAGAAGCCACCCACTCCAATCATCCAGCCCATCTTTACCCGCATGCCGCCAATTCGTGCCGTCGCCGCCGCACATCCCTGCTCCTAATGCATCCCCGCCTCCCCCAGACGCTTCCTTCACGGGGGTGGGCACGTCCGAATGGGGTGAGCAGACTAGCTCCGGGGTCAGCAGCCGTGCAGATCGAGAGAACTCCAATGCTTCTACCCTAGCTGAGGAAATCCCGGGGTTAGGAGGTGAGGAAACGCATATAAGTCCTCTACCCTGACCTCCTCGTTCACAGACCGTTTCCCTCTTCACCCGCGAGTCGGCCAGTCAACTTCAATACCCTCTCTTATCACTCTCTCTTTAAAACCCTTTACCAGTGTTTAAGTAACCCATAAAACACCGCCAAGATGGTGAAGAAGGCCTTCATGTCCCGGCAAGTGGCCGACAACGTCGACATCGCCCAGGCCGAGGCCCCGCGATTCGAAAAGGTGTACTGGCTGAGAGAGCCCCATCTTCGCAAGCTCTACTTCTCGACTATATTCCTCATGGTCGCTTCAGCTACCACCGGCTACGATGGTATGCTCGTGAACACCTCTCAGCAGATGCAGCGATGGAAGGACTACTTTGGCGACGGTGTCTCCGACAACAACAAGCTCGGTATCCTCATCAACATGTTCAACATCGGTTCCATTGTTTCGTACTTCATCACACCCTACGTGGCAGACAACTTCGGACGTAAGATTGCCATTGTCAGCGGTTGTTGCTTCATGATCGTCGGCGGCGCCGTCACGGCCTTCTGTAACGGCTGGGGAAGTAAGTCAAAGATCTCTCGCTCTTCCCGAGTAGTTGGAACGTGAGGCTGACTGTCATTTCAGTGTACATCGGCGGTCGATTCATACTGGGTTTCGGCAACTCACTTGCTCAGATGGCTTCTCCTTTGCTGCTGACCGAGATCTGCCACCCTCAGCACCGTGGCCCTGTCACTGCTGTAGGTTTCTCTCCAACCCAACCCCGAATACCATATATAAACCTTCTGTACAAATGGAGCAACGACTGACTTGAGTGAACAGATTTACAACTGTCTTTGGAACCTAGGTGCCCTGATCGTCGCCTCCATCGGCTGGGGAACCTCATATGTAAACAACGACTGGTGCTGGCGATCCATCACCTTTATCCAGATTGTCCCCTCCGTCATCCAGCTCATCGGTATCTGGTGGGTCCCCGAGTCTCCGCGTTTCCTCATCAACAAGGACCGCTCCGAGGAGGCTCTCGCCGTCTTGGCCAAGCACCATGCTGGCGGCGACTTCAATAACGCTACTGTTCAGTTCGAGTTCCGCGAGATGAAGGAGACCATTCTGATGGAGAGGAACGCCGACAAGACGACAAGTTATGTCGACTTCCTCAGGACCAAGGGGAACCGCTGGCGTCTGGCCATTATCATTTCCCTCGGTATCATCTCCCAGTACTCTGGTAACGCCATCTTCTCCAACTACATGGACGCCATCTACGAGGGTGCCGGTATCACCGAGCAGAACCAGAAGCTCGCCATCTCGACCGGAAAGTCCATCCTCGATCTTTCATGCTCCATCGGTGCCGCCTTGACAGTTGACTACTTTGGTCGTCGCCCACTGTTCCTGACTGCCATCAGCGGTATGGTTGTATCCTTCGTCTGCTGGACCATCACCGGTGCCGTTTTCGAGAACTCCAACAGCACGAACCAAGGCTCTGGCTACGCCCAGCTCGTCTTCATCTGGATCTTTGGTATCTTTTACGATATTGGTTTCTCCGGTCTTCTCATTGCCTATGGTCTCGAGGTCCTGCCTTTCCATCTCCGTGCCAAGGGCATGATGATCATGAACATTACCGTCCAGGCCATCCTCGCGATTGGAAAGTATGTTGTACCCATTTTCCACATGTACTCAATCCCTCAGCTAACCATAACATCAGCCAAACCAACAAGATCGCATGGGACGAGCTCCCCAACCACTGGAACTTTATGTTGTTCTACACCCTCTGGGACTTCTGCGAACTCGTCTTCGTCTACTTCTTCTACGTCGAGACCAAGGGTCCTACCCTTGAGGAGATTTCCAAGATTTTTGACGGTGACGACGCTGTCGCGCACGTCGATCTCACCCAGGTCGAAAAGGAGATTGATGCCAACATCCACGAGGAGGACATCAATACCCGCGCCGCGCACAGCGAGAAGACGGCTGCCTAAATGTTCGACCTCTTGCGGAGTGACTGACAGGAAATGGAAGAGAACCCAAAAACAATGCCTCGTTTTGCATTGCCATTTGGAAGGTTCTAGCAGGGCTAGGTGGTGGATGTAATGCGAGCCCGGCATTGGCTGGGCTTAGAATTTGAGGTTGTTCATGATACCAGAGACATCGCGACACAAGACACTCATACGTCCCACTACGGATGTAAGGTGCCTTGTTGAGTGAGGCCTTATCAATTACTCTCGTTAGTCACAAACAGGCTATAAACCACCTGTAGTAGACTCCATCATGGGGTCTCTGCAGTAATTCGAAGCCATCACCAAATCCGAGTTTCTCCCATGCCATGACCGATTGTCAATGTCTCTCCAAACAAAGAAAAAAGCCAATTCCTTCTCAAGCTTTTGCTCACGTCTTGGCTGGGCCCCCTCCGTCCCTAGGGAGAACTCAACCCTATATTCCCCAGATTTCCTAATGGAGGTTGAGGTCGCGCTAGTGCCGGCATCCACAAGCACGAGATCTCTGGATACGAGAAGGGGAATTGGTGGGAATTCTTTGGTGAGGAGAAGCAATGGGGGTGGTGTTTGTTTGTCCTGCAGGCGTCGTTTACTTGGCGTTGGAGGTAGACACGGGAGGAGTGAGGAGGCGGGCCGTTGAACCGGTGGGATTCCACCCCCTCGTATACGGGGGAGGAGTAGACGGGATGGGATGCTTATGCGTTTTGAAAAGATGGCTTTTGGGGTCTGACTATTTTGGTTTGCTTCCTTTTGCCCCTTTTTGGGTACCCTCGTTTTGTGTGTATTGCACATACAATCCAGGGAACGATGGATGAATCTGTGCATATGTTGGGTTCATGGTATGAAGGCTTGAGAGCTTACTATGAAGCCTTCGTTTTACAGACAAAGCACTAGCTGTCATTTGTTGGCCTTCTTCGATGACCCATGATGAAATTGATTTTTGCCTAGGAGAAGAGGGAACTCAAAGTATCAGTAGAACAGTGGAAGTCCATACGGCATTCTGAACAGACACGATTCGCTGCCTGTGGGAAGAATTTGCAGAGACCAGGATGAAGATGCATTGGTAAGGGGCGCGGAAGGGAGAGCTGTCCGTTATTGTTTGCGGTTTTTGCTTATTCCTCTCGTTCTTGGTACGGCTGACTGGCTGCCTGCACGCGTGTTTGGAGTTTGTGTTACCTCTGACCGTTACATGCTCGAAGAGTCGTGACTTACCTCTTGAACGCCAAAAGGGGGTACGGTGCCTTTGCTTTGGTTGTTTACGTTTGTTGCGAGATTGTCCTCGAAATACAGAGCGATAGTGCGTGATGTGCCAGTTAGGTTCGTGAAATCTCGAAGGAGGCGATAAATCATATTGAACTGCATTCTTGGAATTGACGAGTGATGATGATGCTCTATAGACCGCTAAAGCATGAAATTCCCATATCAATCAGCTAGTGCAACGACGATCTACAACTTGCTGGCCATGTCGGTCTAATAGGTAAAGTAGGTAATGATACATTGAAAACAGAGCAATTGTGCAACAACCTCTTTAAACACCCAGCTCACCCCCAACAACTTCGAGAGCCTCCACACACAGCTTCAATACCGCCTCGTCCCCAGAGGAGCCCGCCACCTGCACGGCACTGACGAGGAGGGGATACAGCCGCAGCAGGTGCTTCCTCCCATCGCTATCGACGTTGGGCGTGCTGGGGATGGCGTCCGACTCGGACGTCAAATCGACCAGCTGCCGCAGCACGCGCAACAGCTCCTTTCGCTGCGAAAGCGGTTGCGGCATGCGGCCTCGCAGGGGCTGGTCGGCAATGTACGCCCGGACGGTCAGCGCCGCGCGGAGGATCAAAAAGGGCGCGACGGTGCGCGCGATGCTGATGTGTAGGGCCTGTGGCGCCTCCGAGAGGTGCGAGGTCGCGGAGCGCGGGAGCGGGAACGCGGGCGTGGGCGGCTGCACGACGATGCGTAGGCTCGAGACGTCGTAGGTGGACACGAGGGAGAAGAGCTCGTCGACGCAGACGTATGCCATGCGGTCACGGCGGGTCGGGAGGGGGTCGACGGTGCGGCCGGTGCGTTTCTTGTAGAGCGCTGCGAGGCCGTTGGCGCCATCGCTGCTGGAGCCGAAGAGGAGGGAGGACTCGGTCGGCGAGGGGTCGTGGATGATGGAGGTCCGAAAGAGGCTTTCGGCGTAGGCTTTGCGGGTTTTGTCTGGGATTGCATCGGCTCCTAGGGATGGAATGATGAGTTCGCGGAGTTTGTGGAAGGATGCAATGTCAAAGGACTCGTCGTCCGAGAGGTCTGCTGATGAGGGCGCTGCGTTGGTGTCCGCGCTTACGACGCCGTCGGCGATTCCGACAATCATCTGCCACATATCCTGGAGCGTGGAGCGTGGGATTTCGAGAGCCCGGATCTGTGGCAGCGTGGCTTCCAAGATGGCGAGGATCGAGTTCGTCGCGAGACGCCATGGCTGGGCTGACTTGGTGACGATGGGGAAGCCGTACTTGAGGACAACGGGCTTGGAGAGGGCCGAGAGGGCAGAGGAGAAGGCTTCGCTGGCATAAATGTCTGCGTCGGATGCGTTGCGGAGGATTAGCGTTTGCAGGATGGACATGCTGACTTTTGACATGGCCACGTATGTTCTCCTCTGCGTCGCGCTCAGTGCCTTGAGTGCTTCGTCGCTGAAGGCGAGGCGGACGAACTCTGCCACCTGGGAGATCATGGCCGAGGGTACGCCGGCGAGGTCTGTCCGCACCATCTTGATGGCTTCCATAACCTGGTTCTGCAGCGGCGTGACGTACTCAATGTCATTCACGTAGGCTCCCACCGTGGCTTGTTGCAGAGCTTCTCGGAAGAGCGTCAACATCTGGCGGACCCGGTCCACTGTCAGATCTGACTGGACCAGTTGGTACACATCGTGGAAAGCCGCGACGTAGGCGATGAGGCAATTTTGGTTGTCTGCCTTCTTTCCATCCTCTTCGTCTAGGGAGACGGGTGTCCCGCGAGACCACAGCTCCCATGCCGCATTGACAGTGTTTGTGTCAAAAATTGGTCTGCCGGGGTCGTAATCGAGCTTGATGACCTTGCCGAGTGCCTTGTACGTGGCCGTGTTGATTGTGAGCACCTTGAAGTCGAGCAGGGTAGCAAAGTGACCAAGAAGCTCTTGCCACAGAGCATTAAAGGAAGAATGCGTGGATAGGGGCTCCATGTAGGTCGTGAGGAGCCCCGAAATACCGGTCAATACAACGGATGCTGTCTCGTGCCATTCTTTGCGGTCTTGCAGGGTGGTACTATCGGTTGCCGCAGCCTGGAGCTCTTCCTCTATTGACGAAAGAAGCTTGAAAACCACAGATTTGACGCAGGTGGACCAGGCCTCTGGGCTTAATTTGTCGCCGTACGCGTCAAAGATTCTCAACAAGGTCTGGATTGCGCTATTACGGAGCTCCAGACGTCCATCAGCTGTGACTGTTGTGAGTCTCAGAAGCAACAGCATCCAGAGAGCGGCGTCTGAGGCGATGTGCTCCGAGTTTGCGGCTAAGGCTGCCAGGTCAGAGATACTTGAGCCCTGCATCAGGTCGGCATTGACGGGGAGGGTTTCGGTCTTGCCAGAAAGGAAATCTGACAGGACCCAGAAGAACGTAACAGTCTACAAAGTATTAGCTTGGTCCTAAGGGCTTGACCCTTCGTAACATACCGTTAACGCAATGTTGAGGTCATCATCTTGTGAGCAAAATTTGTAAAGGGTATCGACAAGTATGAGAAAGCAAGAATTCGGCAAGGACGCTAGGAAGTCGGAGCAGATCAGTTGAAGAGAATTGAAAGAAGACCGAACAAGCTTCGCTGATCGGGTCATGAGAACGTTCGTCTGGGAGCCCCGACGTTCTCCGGGGGCGAACTTTTTGTTGATGAAGATGGAGCCGATAATCTCAAAAGCGATCTCCCATCCGCTAACGAGTGTCTCGCCGCAATTTTCAAGCAAGTTCTTCAGTCCTTCGAGGACGACCTTGTGAATTTCGACGTCAGTGCTATGACTGGCGACAGTGACCTCCCTATCTTCTTGCTGCAGAGGCAATAGTGCATCGCGGAGAGCCTCAAGCAGAAGCAACTGGACGTGGCCGCATTGTTCGCGCTCCATCGTAGCCGCAATATTGGCTGCATCAAGAGCCAGCCTAACCAGGATCTCCGCCGCTCGAAGCCTTACAGAAGCGTTCATTGAGGAAGCGTTGATGATATGGATCAGCTCGGAAGTCAAGGGCGTCCATCCGGATATGTCTGGCGAGTACGAAAGCAATCGATCGATGTTGATCGTGGCAATATCACCCAGCTTGGCCAGGGCAAAGTGGTCTTCTTGATTCGGTCCCGCGGTGGCTGCTGTAGAGACACTGAGAACCCGACGGTGTTGACCTGCTTGCGTCGGCTTCATGCCTCCTGACGTGGGCGATTTTGGTTGCGCCGCAGTCTCTGTCTTCTGCTTGTCGTCTTTTGCTCTTTCCAAGAGATTGCATACTGCCTCAACAACTTGCGCAAAGGCGTCATTGGGAAAGTCGATTGTGCTCTCGATCAGACGAGATGCTGCCGTCTCGACGGCGCGGACTTCGCTGCTGAAGTTCAAGAGCAACGCATTTGCTTCGTTCTCGGCATGTTGATCCGTTCCTTTGGTTGCAAGCGGCGTTCGGCCAGGAGTCTTACTCGTGGAGAACAGCACGAAATCAGCTTGTTGTAAGGTTTCCAGAATGATACGCCATGAGGAACCGAGAGTAGGGCCAAGAGCAATGCCAAGATTGAGGAGCGCTCGCAGACATAGAAGATTACGGGTGTTGAGCGTCATCTGGCTCCCCTCAAGCCCTTGCTGTCGACCTCTGTCAGCCACGGGCGATACTTGAGTAACAAGACTATCGACACTTAGTAGCCCTCGCGCGTTGCTCAGAATGCTATTGGGTGCTTCTGTGGTCGGTGTGGGTGTTGTTGGTCGAGCTGGCCCTGCATTTAGGCATGCCGTGAACACATTCGGCGGTACTGCCGCCTTGCCCAGCGTCGTCAAGAATGCGTCTCTCGGGGTAGACAATTGGAGCAAGCCTGCAACATGCGCGAACTTCTGGAACGCCCTTACGAGACTGTGGTAGTACTCAGAGTCCATAGCAGCATAGAGAAACGTAGAACAGGTAGCAAGGATGGCAGGCCAGCACTCCTCGATGATGGCGGCACAAATTTTGACTTCTTTGTGCATGGGATGATCATCCAGTGCGAGAGGATTAAGCGGAACGGGGTTCTTTTTGAATGATGCAGCTCGCTCCAACGCAGCCCGCGATCCATCTGCATCCTCTTGGGCAGGCGCTGGAGAGTCACGACCAACTTCCTGCTTCCCGCTCTTTTTGCGATTGCGGCCGTCTCCAGGAACGGTAAGGGGAAGGATGAATTTGGCAAGACCTTCGGAGAGCGATCCTATGCAAGACAAAGTCAAGCTGTAGATGTAAGAATCCGGAACAGATGGTGCCTCGGTCTTGTCGAGCTGGTCGATGCAAGGGACCCGGACGCTACTCCACTGCGTGCTAATGCCCACGTTGGAGCCGTCTGCGCTGACGGAGCCGCTGATGATACCCGTGACGCCGCTGGTCTCGAGCATGGCTTGATCGGTTGACGATGCGATGCTAGCGTAAGGGTTCATGACCGGAATTGTTGACTGATGCCCAAGACCAATCACAGACGGCTTCTCGGTGCTAAGCCGCACAAAGGTCGCAGTCACATGTTTGAGAACATCTTTCTCGCCCTCTTTGGCGTCGTAGTTGACGAAGATCCGTCGGATCAGGGCATGCTCTGAGAAGATGCCTCGGAAGACCTCTAGGCACAGTGCTCTCTTCCATGTTGCCGTGTCCTGGTCCAGTAGATGCGTCAGGATATCGAGTGCATCTCCGCTTTCGGTTGGGAGGATGTTGATATGGCGTCTTAGGAGAGTATAAAGAATCCGAACCAGCCTAACAGACGTGGCAAAGTTGGGTTTTCCTTTCAGTGCGCCATTGATG